ACTTTGTTTTGTTAAAAAAAAGGTTAACCTCTATGCAATTTTGTAAGTTTTGTAGCAACAGAGTTTGTAAGCAGATGGCATATCTAAGTTTTTGTGTTTTGTTTTTTCTCCATGTAACTGTTTGTGGTGACACATAAATAAAAGTTAAATTTTATTTTGTTAACTTTTTATTAATTTTTTTTTGAGCTAACCCTTTTTGAGTTTATTTGAAAAAGATATGTTTTTTATGTTTTGATTTTGTTTTCTAATTATTTCCCTAGTTACAACTAGTGGTTGTAATAGGCATAATTAGGCACCTCAAGTGGCGCCCTATATTAAATTCCTTGAGGTGTTTCTTGTTTATTATTATTTTGTTTATCCCAAGAGCCCTTTATTTCATTTCTTTGTAGTTGCCCCATTCCAATGCCCTTATCTTTTACTTATCCACGACCCCAGCTCTCCTACGAAACCCTGAGTGCCGTTCGCATCAGTAGCGATTATTTTGCTTGCCCTATCTCCACCCCCAATAGTTTTTTCCCCAATTTTCTATCTCCCGTATTAATGCCCCCTGTGGTAGGCAAAATATCTTCGTTACACCAGTAGAGCAGATCTTTAGACGGACGAACATGGGTAATATAATCTTTTCGATGTTAGAACTCGGAATTGTCTGTAGACGACTTACGTACCTGGCAGTGTGCTGTACCTGGTAGAGCAATTTCCACGCTGCGGTCTATTGAGACTCAGACCCCAGCTTTGGGATTCGTCTTGTCGGTTAGACGAGACCGTCTATATGATTTGTTTTACTAAAAGTTAGACAATTCCTATTACTTACTGTAATAGTTTGATTAAGGTCCTACATAGTATAAGACTGGAATAATGACATGCGCCATGTCAAGAGGTAATAAGCATCTTTGTTATTAACTTTTCAATTTGACACGAGTCTTCTAAATAATCAGATGGCGGTCTAGTGAAGTGAAATTACGTTTTTTTTTTTGAAGAAAAAACCGCTTATTTATTAAGAAAATCCGTTCAGTTTGCAGAAATGAGGATTGTTGGTTATTTTCCGCCATCCAGTAAATAATTTAACACTTGGAAAAGCTCTCTCAGAAGTCACCCGGACTAGGGAAACACATTGCTGGGGATGTTTTTTTCTTCGGATATCAAAAGATCAAGTTCAGTTGGAGTTCCTTTTTTTTCTTCCCTCCGGTACCTTTGCTCGAGATCCCAAAGGGTACCTCTGCAAGACGACAGGGAAACTTCCACCGAATCGTTGGTGTTACACGCTATTAATATAATCATTTTTTTCTGCATTAAATTTATTGTATATTTGTATGTTTGATAAAGATCGGCGTATAATACAAAATTTATACTGGAACCAATCAGCCACAATAAGAACGAATTTTGGAGGTGAACCAACGGAAATGATCCAGATTCTACGAGGCGTTAGACAAGGTTGTATACTTTCACCTATATTATTTAATCTATATTCAGAGGAAATATTTAGTGAAGCCTTGGAAAAATGCGAACATGGAATACCTCTAAATGGAGAACGCCTAAACAACATCCGTTATGCAGACGACACCGTTATTTTTACAGACAGTTTGAACAGTTTACAGCAACTAATAAACACAGTAAATGAAGTAAGTGAAAGATTTGGACTTCAAGTAAATAGAACAAAAACTAAATTTATGATCATCAGCAAAAATAAAGTTAGACTCAACTACTTATCAATAATAAAAAAAAACCAGTCTTCACACACACACAGTCCACACTTCACAATACTGTCCTATTTTCTCTGCCTTATTTTCCTATACAAACGTCAACACCTTATTCCTACATAATCTTGTGGTTCTTCAAACACCCCCTTTTTATACAATATCGTCACACCTTCCTCTCACAAATTTCTGACCCCAATTTTAACTTCAGAACCATCCACATCCACCATACCAACATTTCACTATCTTATCTCTTCACTCACTTCACTCTTCACTTCTACATCGTTTTCCTGTTAATTCTGTTCTCTTTCATTATTTCTTGGTCAATTCATATATTAAACATGTATCCAATAGTTTTAATTTAGTAATCACTTAAACATTATCTAACAATTTATTAAAATTCATAATCTACCATATTACATAGAATCCTAATCTACCTTTGCCCACCTTCTTTCGGTCAACAACTTAGTAGCACACTTATACAACAAATTTCAGGTTTCTACAAACTGAATTTAATACCACCTAAATAGATTTTGTTCAGGGTGCTAGATACTTTAAGTATAAAGGACCCCTATTATCTCTAATTGTTGATCAACTCCTTTTCTCCTTCAACCCCCCCCTCCTTTCATTTCTTTTACTTTCATTCTCATTAGTCTCTGAGGAACCCAGTCTCTTCGATTTTAAATTCAATCACATATGTTACTACTTCAATTTCTTCAGCCTGTAGATTTCCATCTTACTAAACTTAATTTTATTAATTTTTCACCATAGGAGCATTCCTAAATAAAGTCATTTAAACATGAGGTCTGATATTAGCTTCAAATATTTGTTATTTAATTTTTACCTTGTCCTAGATGTGTTAAACATAAAAGGATAAATTTCATAAATACAAGCTAACCCAAAATTAAATACACTTTAGACCACATTCCATACGACGAAAAGCAACATAAGTTGCCTAAGGCACAGGTCATTATATTAATCATGACTATAAAACCATCATTGATTTGACATCTTTTATACCCTAAATTAATAAATAAAAAGTTTTTAAATCCCAACACCTAGATTGTTGTTATTTTTAAAATCATCAAAACTTGTTGAATCTTTTGGCTGTAGTAATACTATGTACAACTTTTATAGTTTTTGTTGCATTGACATTCTGTTATCTTCATCCTTCAAAAGTATCTTGTCAATCAGTTCCACGTTGTTCTCCGAGTGCAGAGGTTCTCTCTCACCCGGCTCTGGAACCTAATTGAGCCATGTGTTACCTTTAGTCAAATTTAATTTAATATAGAACATCACAGTTATTTTATAACACAATGTACAACATCTCATAACTAAATGTAATTTAAAGGGTTTTTACCCTAATATTTTGGTGGCTCAGGCATTATGACCTAGTAAGTATAACCATCTTTTGCTTTTCAACCATAGTCAAAATTTCAAAATCTCGTTTGTTTTAACTAAATGGTTTATACTTATTTTTAGGCATTTTCGATTTTAATAACCTGATGATGGACTGTGTAGTCCGAAAACGTTTGTTTTATTGATGTGGCCCTTTTAAGGGTTTTTTAAATAAATATACCCATTTACAAAGATTAACCTCTTTTTGTTATACGTGGTATACAGCCAGCTACAGGAATTTTTCCTTGTGGATTTTATCAATAATACACCAGTGGACCGAGTAAAACAGTATAACTATCTTGGAATAACAGTAAATGAACAATGGGATCACTCACAGGAAATAAAATGTAGAATAGAGAAGGCTAGGAGTGCATTCAATAACATGGCCAAACTCTTTAAAAGCCACAATCTTAATCTGGAGATAAAAGTAAGGCTCCTACGATGTTATATCTTCTCAATATTGTATTACGGAGTTGAATCCTGGACACTAACTGAAGCAATGGAGAAAAAACTTGAAGCCTTCGAGATGTGGCTATACAGGCGAATTCTAAGGATATCATGGACAGACAAGATAACATACGAGACCGTATTACGAAGAGTGGGCAAAGAAATAGAGGTGATGTATACCATTAAAAAGAGAAAGTTGAAATATCTCGGACATATAATGAGAAACAGCACTAAATACAGATTACTGAAGGTAATCCTACAGGGTAAAGTATTCGGAAAGCGAGGAATTGGGAGAAGGAGAATATCATGGTTGAAGAACCTGAGGAAATGGTTCTCCACAACAACAACGAATTTATTTAAAGCAGCAGTTAATAAAATAATTATAGCCAGAATGATTGCCAATATTCGGAACGAATAGGCACTGAAAGAAGAAGAAGAAATTTATTGTTTTTTGATAGTATTTATAAATTTTATAAGTTACTAAATAATATACTCAAGGTTTAAATTTTTTCCTTAATAATAATTATATTTCATTGTATTAAATAATAATAATTTAGGTATTAGGAGATAGTTTAATGTCCCCTAACACTCCATTCTCGGAGATTTCGGAACCAAGATGTTCTTCTTCGGCCTGGGCCTCTCCTTCCGGCGATCTTACCCTGTATTGTGAGGTGTAGAAGGTTAAACATCTCTTGATGTCTCATAACATGACCCAAATTATTGTAACATTCGAATTTTTATCCTAATCTAACCTAACTCTCACGTGTAAGTTAATTGTGTCTACTCTTAACTCCTCAATACCTTTTATCTAAACATAGTTAATACGCCTGGAATATACTTCATCAGAGTATATTTCCATTTCATTTGTCATTATTACTTGATCGACGCTGAAGTTATGAATTTTATATTCAAGTAAACAGGTAGATCCATTATTGTTATTAGTTTTTATTTCTTTGTTTTAGTTCAATTTAAAGTCAGGGTAAACTTATTGGAACATTTTATATTCTCCTGTTAGCCGATTCCATAGTAAATCATGAGGATAAAACCTCATAATGATTTTTCAGACGGTTATTCTTAAGTTAAAGTTGATTTCATATAATCGAATGAACTATCTTACAATAAAGTCGTCCCAGGAACGCAACTCAGTAATATCATTTTAAAGTCGTCTACTTTAAAATGTATAATATATCTCTGAATGGTCAATAGGAATAAGTCAGATAAAAGTAAATTATTGCAATGTTTCACAAAGTAACAAAAAAATAATTTTTTTTAAATTTATTAATGTTTTGTATTTTGACGATGATTTCCGAAGTGGAAATTGAAACATCAAAAATAAACTTATTTTAAACTTATATGGTAGCTTATTCCCAATAAAGATAGTAACTGATACAGTATATAAACATGTCAATTTTAAAAACAGTTAATCAAGAACTAAATACATATATGTCTTTAATAACTTACCATTTGGTGGTCTGGAATGTGGAGTATCGCTTTCATGCACCACTCTTTTAGCGCTGAAAGGTCCTGGCTCCTCTTTATTCTGATTTTCGAAAGCTCCGTAGAATGAAGTAGTCATTAAATTTTGTTCAACCTCGGCCTCTTTCTCCAATTCGTTGGTCTCAGTCGAAAACAGTTTGATAGTCAACCTGAATCAAAGTATCGTTTTATAGAATTAATAAATATACGGAAAAAAAAAGAGGTGTACTGAGATAAGAGTACTTATCTTAACCGTAAAGCCCTCTTCAGTCTGAACGTAATACCTAAATGCTACCTTGTAACCGTTTCAAAATTTAATAATTTATAATTGATTGAATTTATAATTCCTACTAATTATTTAAATTATTGTTAATCCCCCCACCTATCAGCCAATAACGGAAACATCTAAATTACCGTTCATGAACCCAACTGCCAAATCATAGTCAATTCTGAATTTGGCCTCAAATCCAAGCACTAGTTACCTCCCAAATATCGCCATATTTTTCTTTCTTTTTGAACGTCCAGCAGGAAAGACGTATCTGTGCTATTGGTATCTGCCTACGTAAGCCGAAATTTCCCTTTTTTCTTTCGTATTTCAAATAAATACTTATCTTAGACCCCATCGGGAGCACTAGCTACTGCCAGGCCATATTTGTTGGCCCGATGTCAATTTAATGATGGAATAAAATACGATTTGTTTGAAACCATGTTGTTCTATTAGTGCCATGATACTTCAGCCATTTACCGATTTGCTATTATTGCTTCATTACCAGATATGAGGGCATGGGCTTTTGTGGAGTATTGTTTCCGCCGCTTCGAAATCCAAGCCTTTGTACGCAATAGTAAAATTATATCCTTTTTACAAGCTACACAAGTTTTGGATAATCCAGGTGGTATCAATTTTATACTTTTTTATTGAATAATAAAGATTATTTATGAACTAAATAACAGTGATGTGTTTTTTATATGAACGAATTTCGAAATTTGGGTAAAATATAATTTTGGTTTTATATAAGTACTTATAACTCTTAATTTAATATCAAAATACAGAATGTTTATTCTCTTGCAATATGATGCAATTTTCCTTAAATTTTTTAATAATTTTTTGTTGTTTACAAAGAAATAAAGGTTAGAATAGTTTTATTTCCATTTTATTTCTCTGTCTGAGCTCGTTTCCTTATGAGGGTAAACAATAAAAGGCTGGCGCCCGTAAATTTGTTTTGATTTTAAAGATAATATATTGAAACAGATTGTATATAAAGTTTGAAAGAACCACACCCAAATCTTTTCCGACACGAGCGATGGGTCTAGAATAATTATGTGAGTAATGCTATACATGGTGCTCTTAGAAAGCTGGAGCTTTAGAATTTTTTTGATAAATCAATATATTCTCATTTTGGTAAATAGTGTGCCTACAATGTTAATGTTGACAAAGAATTTAATGACTTTTTGATCAGCTAAAACAAGTTTTTTCAATAAAAGACATGAGAAATTTATGTAACTACTTGAGACAGAAAGTAAATAAAGAAAAGAGTTATTTAACTAACATATATACCTACTATACTTTATCTCAAAGTGACTAATCTGTACAGATATACAATGCTAACCTTTATGGGAATTTCGCCAAGAAGTTTCCAGTTTTATGCAGTGAGCAATGGCGTTCTCTACTGTCTATCTTAAAAAATAAACCAGGAGTTTTCAGCAAGTCCTCACATACAATTTTATGTAATTTACAAATATCGTTTGCTAATAATTTTACATAGTACTATACATGATTTGTTTCTAATAGTAACTGATCAACGTTTATCTTTTATTAGTAGCAATAGTATAATAAAATGTGCATTAAATAAACATTTCTTTCAAAGTTTTCCAAATACTTTCTTTTAAGTTATTCAGTAATTAAGAAGCGATTAGAGTAATTCTTGTACAGAATATGTTTAAAAGCTTGATACATCCAGGGCCTTAATTAGTCTTTATTTGTTCTTCGGAGCGCGTAAACATATTCGAGTTACGATTACTTGTAATATCTTGGATGTACTGTTACTGTTTTGTTATTGTTATTATTTGTTGGTGGCCGTTGTTGTGATTTACTGTTGGCACTTATTGTTATTTTCTGTTGTTAGTTATTGTTATATATGACGCCGAATTTTTACCGCAAAATGCAGGAAATTGTTCAATGGAAACGTGGAAAAGCTCTGAAACTTTCAGAGAAGCACATACTAAGGAATATTATTAATTATCACCTTAATCAGGATAACACCGATTCTGTATCAAGTGTAATTAGGAAAGTATCAGCAATGAGTGGTGTTTGTGAAAAGACTCTGTTTCGCATACGACAGGAATATTCATCACCTGCTGGATTACAATCTCCAAAGAGCAGGCCCAAGAAGCGAAAGGTTGGTAATTTTCGTGACAACAAGTACGATGAAGGTGTCAGGGGCCAAATTCGTAGAATAGTTCATTAATTTTTTCGTGACAACATACCACCAACAATAAACACCATATTAGCTATTGTAAATGTCGAAGAAACTTTGCCCAACTTTCACGGGCAACGCTACATCGCTTGCTGAGTGATATGGATTTTGTGTTTATAAAACGTGGCAGAAATTCAATTTTGATTGAAAAACCAGAAATCATCTCGAGGCGTCATCGTTATTTACGCACAATTCATAAATACCGTGCAGAAGGATACAACATAGCGTATTTCGATGAATCATGGGTAAATATCGAGCACAGTGTGAAAAAAGAATGGGTTGATAAAACAATTACATCTCATCGCGATGCTTTTGTTCGCGGTCTAACAACAGGATTAAAAGCTCCAACAGATTGTGGTGCACGGTTCGTTTTATTGCACGCAGGATCTACCAGTGGATTTGTTGATGGAGCAGAGCTTACGTTTTTGGCAAAGAAAAATACTCAGGACTACCTCGACGAAATGGATGGACCGACCTTCGAAGATTGGTTTGAAAATAACTTAATGCTAAATTTGCCAGACAAAACTGTTGTGGTAATGGATAATGCCTCCGCTCAAAGCAGAAAGTCAGAACAAATTCCCAACAATTCAACACTAAAAAAAGATATTCAAGAATGGCTTCTGTCAAAGGACCTATTTTTTAAGAAGACTACCTAAAATACGAGTTACTTGATGTAGTCAAGGCCTTCAAAGCAAAATATGACAGGTACAAAATAGAAAATATTGCCAAAAAGCACAATGTGGAGATTCTGAGGCTCCCACCTATCACTGTGAACTCAATGCCATCGAAATGGTTTTTAGTAAAGTGAAACGGTATATAGCTGGACGGAACACGAATTTTAAAGAAGCTGAAATGCGAAATTTAATTACAGCAGCGTACCAGATCATTAGGCCAGAGAAATGGAAAAACTACGTAAACCACGTAATAGCAACAGAAAAAAATGTGGGAAATTGACAATTTGTTGGATGATATCGAACCAATTATTATAAATATAAATAATGGAGATCGTGATGACAGTGACGATAATAATGATTATGATGATGATAGTTAAGCAGAAACTAAATGTGACAGCGATTGACAGAAAAAGGAACTTAATATAATGGTGTAGAATTACGATTACTTACACACGAAATTAAATACAATGACTTCTTTTATTTTCAACTTATTTGTTAGTTTTATTTTCGGATATTTCTACGTTTTGTTACTGCAAACATATACAGTGCGGTTTTTAAAAGTTCTTTCCCCCTTTTGAACGGAACAATACATAAATAAAATGTTTCTTTATATTTTAGTTTTATTTTATTCGATTTTATTTAAATCTATAAACAACTGGTTTGTATCGCTAGCACATACTGTAGAATTAAAAATAAACTGCTTGTGTGACATAAATAAAAGGCATTTCTTAATTTCTATTTTATTTTAATTTAACCCAAGTATGTTGTAGCAAATATTATTTATGTTTGAGAACCACTGACAGAAGGAAGCCAGACAGGCTCGTTAGTGGGCATTAGTACTTAAACTACCTTCAACACAAAAGATGGATTAGGGTAAGTAGTAAAAAGTGACGTTTATTTTAATACAAATTTGCAAAGAAGTATGGCATCGATGTTGTCCATTTGCCTTGTACAGACTAGCCACCTTGAGACAATCTATAAAATTGTTTCAATTTATTTGCGTAGCATCCTTTTCAAAAAAATTATAGCGAATCTAAAAAGTGTTTCGCTAATTTTTTAATCGCTATAATTTTTAGTAGGTATGTTATCATTTATATTTAGGTTAGTCCATTTCTCTAGATATTGATAACCAATTAATAATTAATTTGATATAATTATAAATACAAGAATGAATAAATAATATAAATAACTAAAGTTCAAAATTTTACATTACCTAATCTGTGATAACACGTCTTGCATCGATGATCCCTCTCTATCATCAAATTCTGCTTTGGCGATAGGTAAACCAGAACTGTTTTCGTTTTCATAATAGATAATATCAAGCGCTCTAGAGTTCAACGAATATTCTTGGAAACTTTGGTTTGTTTGAAAGCTTGATTGGAAGACTAAATCGGCGAAAACTAGAGAGAGATAGTCAGCTCTAACATGTCTTTTCCACCATGGAACTCGATTGAGATCGTACGGTGGGCGAAAATCTGGTACGGGAAACCTGCAAGAAAAAACAATCTACTTTATCTTTGAATGTTAGAAAACCAGGGCTAGTGCACAAGTTGAAGATGTGAGATAAATCACAGATATCCTTAATTTTGGCAATTTAATAATATATTGACTCAAAACGTTTTGACATGCGAATATTTTGTAGCGTTTTAAATGTATTAATATTTATATCTATATAATAATATAAATTCTGTTTTAAATTTTGTAGTACGCCCCTGAGTAGGTTTATATGCGTTTGTCTCTTATAAGGGAATTTTAAAACGATTAATATATTATGGCATTCTAAGTTGAGATTCTTAAAAACCTAATAACGTTGGGAATATTTTTTTTTGTCTTTATTTACATTCAAAATCCCCCAATTCGTACGTGTTATTTCTAACTATTTTAAAGTAGAATATTTCCAGTTTTTTGACAATATAGGCAAAACATAGTTGTCTTGTCATTGAAAACGATTTGTTTACATACGAGTCCCCTAATATTCCGGTTGAAAAAGATGTTTTGTTGTCGGTTCGTTGTTACGAACGAGGTCAAGAGGGATATTGTTTGTTTAGGTTTGTAGGCGCGACTTTTTCCGAGACGTGAAAAGAATTTGAATTGCGTATAGTTTGCAATCGAGCAAGGGCATTAACACTAGAAAGACGTTTGGCGGATTTTGAATCCACAGCAAATTCTTTGTGTGTAATGTCTTAAGACCGGTCAAGGTGATATGATAATACTCTTTGCATAAAGAGTATTATCCGGTACACTGCATCGAAAGATTTATGCAGTGTACCGGAGACTGATGAATTTTGAAGATTAATAAATAGGGTGACCTCCACCAGCTTTTTTGTTTGCCTGCTCGCTCCAACCCCATTTACGTCTTAGATCGTCGTTCCTGAGTATGGGAATGGTTCCCTTTGTTCCTGTGGAGAATTTGTCCGGTTAGTTTCAAACCCAGAGATGTAGAAGTTTCTTTGTTAAGTGAAATAAGTAAAAATAAGGTAACATTTAATATATCAATTTTTCCAAGTCAAAAATAGACATTATTTTTAATAATTGCTTTCAGTAAAAATTAAAAGAATTTGTAATAATTAAAATTTTATATTGTGTTTAGAGGCGTGGCCAAAAAAATGTCATAATTTATTCTGTCTTAAAATGTTGTGTTGACATATGACATTTTGGCTTTAATCTGCTGTTGTTACGTAAACAATTTTAATTTGATTATTATATAAAGATTTTTCATAGAGAAGGTTAAATTTTACGATTCTTTTATTTACAAGGATATCCTTAATTCAATATTCTATTGTTTGGCCTCTATTCTCTTTGGCCATATTAATAAATAACCTAGGAACCATTTCGAAAATTTTTGTAGCAATCTCCTTGGTAAACAGATAAACATGTAAGATTTTGTTAATTTTTTATTATGTTATATAGTATGCTTCTTGTGCAATCTGTATTTTTGATAACTGTTTGTTTGAGACAAAAATAAACGTTTCGATTTGTTTCTCTGATCCATTTTTTATTTTTATTTAGAAGTCTCCTAACCCTTGTACATATTCTTGATTTTAGGTAAGAAGAAATTTTCTTTCTTCCAGCAGGAAGTTTTTTCTCGAAGCGGCGTCCAAGTAAGAAAATAGCTAGAGGTAATCTTATCTGCCATTTTTTTTTGTTCTTGATCCAGGAGATTTATATAAGTATCCCTTTGTTTTCATTTTGTAGATACCCCAATCCGACCCATTTATTTCAACTTATGCACGAGCCAGCTCTCCAACAACCCCCTGAGTGTCCTACGCATCAGTTTCGATTATTTTGTTTACCCCATCCCTACCCCCAGTAGTTTCTGTCCCCAATTTTCTTACCCTGAAGTAAGCAAAATATATCGTTACCAATTTTATATAAAAAAAATAATAAGTTAAGATATATTCACGGGTACCAGCGCGCAGAATTATTGGCACACTGAATCGGCGAGGATCGGCGCCGGCTGTCTGACTACTAAACAACGTTCATTTTGGACGTAAAGTTCATTCAAAATTATATAAACTGACTCTTAAAAGAACGGCTTAACGAATTTTATATTTTAATAAATATCTAGATAATTAAGTGAAAAAATACATAAACTGATCGAGTATTAGAATTAATTAATTATTATATTTTTCTGTGTCGATTCTTTATTAAATATATCCAAATTTTAAAAGTAATAAACAATTGTTGTTATGTCAAACAAATTGCAAGTGAAATAATAAAATAGTGAAGGGAAAATTAAAATGAATTAAGGTATATAATATACATATAGCTGAATATGATTATATTTTATATTCCATGTAATGAAATAAGTTTTTCAATTGTTAGTAAATAAAATATGTCTGAAAAAGTTGGCAACAAACGGGAAATTTCTTTATTGTTAATTTAATGAAAAAAACAACTATTCTTCATAAAAATTCTTCTTCTATGCAAAAAAGATTGATTTATGCTTAAAAGTGTAGCCTAAATCCAAACAAGCGTTAATAAGCGTTTAAACGTTTAGGTACAGAACAAAATGTCATTTTAATTTGGTTGTAGGAATTAAAAATTATATTTAAATTTACATTCATGGTCTTTTAATCATGTGTCAGTAGGTGCATTATTTTTAATTTCATTTCTAATTTAACTTATTCAATATGCAAAATCAACAAATGCAAAAGTATTTTTTTATTTACTTTTTACTTTAAATGTATTATTTAATTATTAGAAGGCCATTAACCTAACGTTCGACATAATTTTTAATACCTACAAATATTTTAAAATTACATTTTCTTGCATATCTAAAGTTAAAATCACTTTCCTCTTCTGTATTAATTAATAACAATAACTTTGATTTTCCCTATCTTCCAGTTAATATTTTATAAGATTATTAATTTCTATGTAATGCATAACCTTTAATGAAGAATAATCTTTTTTATGAAATTATTAATGACGAAATTTCCCATTTTTTGCCAACTTTTTCAGACATGAAACGGAAAACTAAAACATAACAAGTCAACATGAATAAATATGAACCTTTTAAAACGAGTAAATCCGTAAGTTTACTAAAGTAACAAGACATTTACTCAACACAGACACTACACACTACTCTCCTAAGTTAGTGATAAGTTATAGTCTAAAAAAATCATTATGAAATTGACTGACCAGTTGGTTGTGAAAACCAGTGCCAATAAAACACAAAACACACACATAAAACGAGTATAAATATGACATCACATAGATATTATGTCGAATCTGTGTCACTATTACTGTCGTCTATTAAATTGATGATAATATTTTGTATATTAGGTGTAGGAAAATATGAATTCTCAGCATTCATAATATGTGAGACTGCATTTTCCAACTATTCGCATCAATGTTGAGTACTTCCCTTTCAATTAGATATGCATTTAGATGTGGCGAAGTAGTATTTCTTCGAACTCTTGACTTAAGTTGATGCCACATATGTTCGATTGGGTTAAATACACAGTAATATGGCGGAAGTCTGACCCATATTTTCGGCATAATTATCACAAAAGTACTCTTTTCAATGCGATGGACTTTTTAAAATGTCCAATAAAACCTTCTTAGTATTATTTATGTGAAAATAAATATCTTTGTCATATAAGTAATTCTGTATTGTTATTTTCGTGTCGCTTGAACTATATATCGCTACTTTATAATGAGACACTAAATTTCTGGATACAGTATACCCTGATATTATATGGTAACAGAATGCTAATATACAGTTTAACATACAACCTTGTTTGTATTGTATAAAAGGTATAAGCAAGTATCCAAGAGATATTTTTCACAGTATATTTTCCTAATGATCGCCATTGTCAAATAAAAAAACTACACTATACTCCAATCCTATAATATACGTTGTAGCATAAATATTAAATCCAAACTTACCTCAGCTTTACATTAACACACGGACAAATTATTTTCAAGTCCATCTTAGCTTCTACAGCAGCAGCGGATATAATGTGTCCAGGAAATCCTTCAGGAATGGTCCATGGATTGTATGGCGATACTTCTGGAGCACATATATTTGGAGAATTTATCAAAGCATTAATTCGATCTAGTAGCGTAATATCAAATTCTAAGTCTAGCTTGCCCAAGGTGATCCTTAAAAATAGTTATCATCAGAACTGTTGTAATCAAGATGTTAAAATAATAATAATTATACGATTGGACACTTTATACACAAATTATAAATCTGAAGCACATCTCAAGCAGCCAGTATCCAATAAACGAAATAAATCACAGTTAAAGCTGGGAAAGTCGGGATGGGAGGATCTGAGAGGGATGGTTTACATTGCTACAAAGGCACAATGAAGTAGATAGAAAATATCGCAGAAGAGTAAGAGGTGTTTTAATATTATTAATATTATACATTAGCAACGGCAGATGGTTAAGTCCCTATTATATCCAAAAACAAAAATATTTCATTAATAACCTAGTAGTAAATTACAAAATTATAATTCTTAGTTTAAAAGAAAAACAATATTTTAACTATAATATTAAACGGTCAAGTCTGTTTTTGAACGAGTTGGTAGAGGAAACAGGTTCAATGTTATCATTAAGGTTATTCCAGCACTCAAAAACTCTATTTGGTAGAAAGTTCTGCCTTGATCTTGTAGAAAAGTTTTCTTCCTTTAGTTTAAACTGATGAAATCTGAGGCGTTCATCTTAATTTATGTTAAACATTTCATCGAGATTTCCAAAATTGAATTTTAATATTTTAAATTTTGTAATTAAGTCTTCATGTGGTCGGGGAAGTTAAAAAGAAGTTAGGTTAGCCATACTAAGTCTTTCTGCATAAGGTCTTCTCGGTCCCAAAAATATTCGAGTCGCTTTTCTTTGAACGTTTTCCAACAAAGTCTTATCTCGAATCAAATTAGGATACCACATAGGTCCAGCTTATTCAAGTATGGGTCTTACGTTAAAAGTGGTAAGTTTACAGAATGATTACATTGAAACTCTCGAAAAATAGAGGTAACGTTAGGCTGCTGTTTACAGTAACACCAAGGTAGATATACGAGAATACAGAATCTAATGGATGCCCGTTAACAAAGAACGGCAGTGGACTACTTTTACCAATTTGAAGCACTCCACATCTTTCCATATTTAAAGGTAGTGACCACTGGGAACACCAAATTAAAATAGAGTACATTTGGAGGGTTAGCTGGTTTGTGATTGGATTAACATATATTTTTGTGCCGTCAGCGTAGAACGATATTTTACTTGAGACATAATAAGGAACATCGCTGGTATAAACCGTAAAAGGCAGAGGTCCAAGAACACAACCCTGAAGCACTCCACTTTCCACTAACCAGTCCTGTGAGAAAGATTCGCCAACTCTAACTTTGTAATGTCGATCTGCCAGGAAATCATCTATCCAACTAAGTAAAGTACCGCGAACTCCGAAATTTTCTAGCTTATGTAGAAGTCTGTGCTTAGGTACACGGTCAAAGGCTTTAGAGAAATCTAGATAAACAACGCCGACCAGCTGCGAACTGTTCAGGGATGACGTCCAGTTGTTAACACAATGTAGGAGATTGGTTAGAGTAGAGCGACCAGAGACAAATCCATGTTGTTGTGTTGGAATAACATGTTCCTGGAGAAGGAATTTGGTCATCTACTCGGAAATAATGACTTCCACAACTTTGCCAACTACTGGCAGCAAGCTAATCGGACGATAATTGTTGGGGTCGAGTTTGTTGCCTTTTTAAAAATGGGGACAACGGATGCTAATTTCCAACTAGGGAATAAGGAATTATGGATGAAAGAAGTTTGCATAATTAACTTTAAGGGTATTGCAAGAATGTTTGCATCTTTTTTACAGTTTTGGTGTTAAACCGTCTAAACCAGGTGAAGCGGCTGTGTGAAGTTTAATTACGTGCTGTTTGACATGATCCACTGTGAATTCGACTTGATGTAAGGATGCGCCGACAAGATTACCGTTAATAGCAGGTAGATAGCCATAATTCGATTCTGTAGTAAAAACATGTGAAAATGCTAAAGAGAGAGTTTCGGAAGATTCTTTGTCAGAAGAGCATAAGGTGTGGTTGCGGTTATGAAGTAGAGGAATGGAAACTTTAGACGTCAAGGAGGAACGTATATATTTGTATACATTTTTAAATTTTTTTGAAAATCTGCGGTGGCTTTGGAAATTACTGAGAAGCCCGGTGTGTTTAAATGTCGGCCGTTGATGTTGTTTGTGATTAATTTGTTTTATTACTGTTCGATTTATCCAGGGTTTAAGATTGTTTTTATAAATCTTACGGAAGATGGTATATGTAGAAATTATATTGTGGAGGGTATCGAGAAATGCAGTCCACATTAATGAGGGGTCGTTTAAGTCTGCAAAAAATAAATGACAGTTGATTTGAGTCAAATCCAGAAAATTCAGTAGTAGCATATGTTACAATATTAATTTTGCGGAGTAGTATTTGATTGAATTTGATGTGAGCCGTTATAACTGCATGATCTGACTTTCCTATAGGATAACTGACTTCGAGAGATGAAATCAGCTGTTCGTCATTAATAAGCACTAGATCTAAATAGGTTGGTTATTAATTCTTAATCTAGTAGGTTCTGTGATGAGTTGCATCAGGATCGAATTAACTACAAAGCTTTTAAATAAATTATGAGCGTTTTAGTTGGCCAAGTTATTGGCCAGATGATTTCTGGGAAACTAAAATCTCCAGTAATGATAAGATTATCAAGAGATGATAGTTCTTCAAGCTTTGTAAAGAAAACATTATCGTGTGCAAGTAGTGTAACAAATGGATGATACTTATATACATACTAAATTAAGGCAAAAATAATTTTTAGTAACAAATAAGTGAAATCCTTCTATTCCAGGAATATCTAATAGCTTAATGTTAATTTTGAAAGTTGTGGTAATATGTATTAGATAAATAAATGCATACACCGCCACCCATACGATTTTCTCTGACTTTACTATATATTTTATATCCATTTATATTTACAGAGAAGTCAGAATAGTCCGATTGTAAAATTTATTTTCAGAATTGGTACTACGGACCAATAGAGCTTTTAACAGGCTCCCCCCAAGCATCAATGATCCAATAAACGAAATAAACTACAGATTGAGTTGCACGAGTCAGGATGGCAGAAGCTGAGAGAGATAGTTTGGATATCATTATGGTATGGATATGGATGACATTATTTGGCATTACTGAAACAGCGCCATCAACAAAGATCTTCAGAAGAATACTTGTTTTTAGTTTCCTTTCTACTTTTTAGCCCCTTTTATTGTGATGTGGTTGATGTTGCACAGTAGAGATGTGTAGTTCACCATCGAAATAGTTCAAATGTACGATTCTTTAAACTGAACTAATTGAACTAGTTCACTAATTTTCATAGAACTAGTTCACTGCGAACTATTTGCATTATAAATGTGTCTCAACTTCTAAATAAAAAAATAATGAATGGAAATGGACCATATATTTCGAATGGAAACGGGTCAAATTACATAGTCCCTGATAGAAACAAGGGGAGTAGGAGCAGGCTTTTTCTTAAGAATTATAACTGCTTTCTTTTCATCTTCCCCTGCTTGTTCTACTAGCAAAACTGATTTTGACGTTGAAGGTTGAGGTTCTTGAAATTGATATGATTGATAGCAGAATGTTTCATTCTTAAATGTCTTGATAAATTGCCCAGTGAACCACTTGTAATACTAATATCACATGAACAGTAATTACATTTTGCAGATTTTTGATTTTTATCGTTTTTCATTAACTGATCCCATAAAAAAACTTCTATTTCGTCTGTTACTCATCTTTTAGGATTGATTAAGAAAATAAATTATTATAAAGAAAAAATAACTAATCAAATAATAATTTAAAACATTTGAACCTAAACATAATAAGATCGAAAGAAATGGTTCCGAATCTGAACTACTTGAACTCCGTACACTGAAACCGAAGAAAACGAGTTTGTGTGATGATTGAGATGAGACATCTGACAACCAGTTATGTTAGGGTTGGATTTCGATGTCGATCCTACAAATAGTTCTTTCGCGAACTAGTTCACTGAACTAGTTCATTTTTGTGATATAGTTCTCTTGAACTAGTTCGTTTAAAAGAACTAATAAGCACACCTCTATTGCACAGAGTATTTTGTATAATAATGTGCCAGTTAATTTTGCACTTAAGTTAATTAGCTCCTAAGAGCACTATTTAAGAAGTCTTCAGATTTAACAAACAGCAAATAAGCAATACAGATATTAGCAATACAGATATTTTAAGTAATACTAATTATAACTAAACTGTTAGTTGGTATTATTATTGGTATAAATGTAATCAGATAACACAGGCATAAACCTTTATAAAGAACGAAAACTTACGTAATATCAGATTTAGGTCCGCTTCTTCTAATAGAATTTTTCGTTTTTTCGACATGTTTAAATGCTAGTTTAAAGCTAGGTTTGGCGCCCATAGTTGCATTTTGAAGAGATGAGTTTTCCGTGAACGAAATCAGTGGAATCGAGTCAATTCTAGAAGTTGCAGTATTGTATAGACACTCATAAAGTTCTAATTTGGCAGCGGTTAATTGCCCACTAATGGAAAATGCCGAACTTGTGGTTTTTTCGTCTCCCTCAATTTGTACAGGTGCAGCGAGTAATCTAAAATAAAAAAAAAAATAAAAAAACAATCAATATATTATACATTTCTCCATAAATCAATTATAATAAACCTAACAACTTCTTTAAATACGGTCATTGTCAGCACATGCTTCCAGCAAAAAAACATCCATGATTGACAGTAGTGTCTAGAATCTATATGGAAGTCAGAAAGACATAAATTACTTACAAGAGAGCTTTTAAGTCGCAGAGTTAAAACATCTACGAAGTAAAATTATTCCTTTATATAAGTCCGCCAGATGCAAACTGAGTTATTTACAAAAAAACTGCTAAATTTTGTAAAAAGCCTTAGATTTAATCAATGGCACTTTTTTGTGATAGATAAATGCTTTATTAGGGAAAAATAATAATTTTTTTCTTATAAAGTTATTGTGTTTGCTAGGAAACGAAGAAACATTTTAAAATACCGAGTTTACAAGTGAAATATATAAATACAGATTTATGCAACTAACACTTGCTTAGACATGATAATAGTCAACCATTAACGATATTATTGGTTCTTGGATTAGTCTGTTTGCCAAACCTAGTATGTTATGACTAAGAAAGAAAGCATGTGGAAATAAACGTTTAGTGAACAGTTTATTTTTATCCAAAGTACAAATTCTGTGTATATATTTATATTAATTCCTAAACTCATTTATATATATTACTTTCATTTATATACAGATTGAACGAATTTAAAACGGATCATACAATTTAATATATGTCTGTTCGAACTGCATTTGAAATAGTGGACCAATATAAAACTTGGACAAAAATAAATAAATACCCAGTGATAGACATTGTATAAAATATCGTTCAACTATCTGTTCCTTTTAGGACGCACCATAGTCTAGAGCTCCGCCTAAAGTCAATGTTGCCAATCGCCGTGTAATAATCCGATTTGTGGATCTTTTTGAGAGTTATATCTTCTTCGTATCTTTAAATAAATCGGATATTTGCCTATATTTTTCATTGTATTTACCAATCTACTACAACAGACTAATAACAAAAATAAACTTAATGGTTTGTAGTTATTTCCTTTCTTTCCTGTAAATATTTTATTTGAGAAACATCTAGAGGAATGAAATTGACAACACCGCTCAAGGTTCAGTAGGTTCACTCTCGCATTTTCACAGTTCCAATTTTGGAACGTTCCAAATCCTAGGTTCGTGCGCAATAGATTTGGCGAAAAATGCCGCTGTTGCAAGATTTAAAATATTCCATCAGTTTCAAAGAATATTTCAAATTTATAATAAAATAATTATTATGGAAGTTCTTCAAAAAGAGAAAATATATTTGGTCATGTTGAGTGCTCTAAACTAATCATTCCCCCAAAGTTCATTAAGTCAAAGTGAAATAGATTTGTACTAAGTAGTACTTGTAGAACTGCAGTACAGATAAGCTTGATATCATAAAGAATTTCTACGTCCTTGGAAATCAATATATCGCTGTTCCAGAAGTATAAACACATAATTGTAAAATTTTGAAAAATTACTTTATTGTGTTGGATGGCTCAAAACTGCATTTTCTATATATTTTTAAATCATCATAACTGTACTTACGGAATCACCGGTAATGGCGAAATTCATAAGTATAATTACGACGATTTAAAAATATGTTGAAAATGCAGTTTTGATCCCTCCAACACAATATTTTTCACAAAGTTATTTTTCAAAATTTTACAGTTATGTCATTATACTTCCGGAACAGCGATATATGCTATCACTTTGCCATCGTTGTCTGAAAGTGGAATCTGATTTTGTTTTTTCAAAATTATGATTCGACTGTTACTGTTCCTGTCTGTAAGTAGGTATCTAGCTGGGTGTAACATATATTCTACTTTCTACTATTTTATGAGTACTACCTTATTTGCAGAAACTATATAACAGGCCTCCTAAAATCCAGCTTTGCTTTGATTCTTCATGTATTAAAAACAAAACTTAAATTTTAAACTTAAAAAACTTAAGATATGTAAAAAACTTTCTTGAACCTTTTAAAACTGAATATTAAATAGCTGAGAAGATTTATACCGCATGTTAGGATTCGATCAAATAATTTTGTACTCAGCCTCAGGCCTTCTTTAAGTAAATAAATCAAAATTTGTCTTAAAGGAAATCTATTGTTATATATCATATTATATATGGACGTTTTCAGATTTTAAGTACAATTTTTGACGTTTCTGGTTTGTTTACTTTTGTGGCTGTCAGTTGTTGACTATTTTGCTATTTTTTTGTCCTGTTTTTACATTTTGGAATTATTTATATTACACAAACAGTTATTTTCACAACTAACTTAATATTGCAATTGAAAATTTTCTGGTAAGTGTATTTTATTTTGCCCTTAATATTCCTTAAAGTTAACCTTATTCACACAGATTGTCATAACCACTTTCTGTCACTTGCTGTTACGTTGAGTAAATTTCCGACTGATTTCGTATGCTTTAAATCATGACGCACGGGTAAAGATAAATTGACTCAACTGAAATACGTCGTTATTGAATTCGTTATTGATCGAATTTCATGGTATGTGATTTTTCTCATCAAACGTGACAGAAATAAATAAATAACGAACATTTTCCTCCGGTTGGCAACACTGCTAAAATGTACAAGTGTAGCTTTCAATTTTTATACGTGATGGGCGGGGCAACCTTTTTGGGTGGAGTTTTGACTTGTTTTTGAACGAGTTCAGAATCCAGCAGCCCGCTGAAGTATTGGATTTTTATAATATAATTATTTGACAACCTCTGGTTGCCAACCACCTAGAGCGAAGTTGAGCCGATATACATGTATTTCGTATGTTCCGAATTTATATCGTTCAATCTGTATATCATATTTATATTAAGTTCTTTTGGGTCCTCATCATCAATATGATCATTTTCTGCAGCACTCACCTTATTCTTTATCTGTACGCCAGTATCTATTATTTTATAAAATGTGAGATCCAGCTGGTCTCTCCAATTTTCACCAAAACATCCAATCTGTTGTAACTTAAGTTTCAATAAAGAAATCTTTTTCCCTTTTTGTATTATAGACTTGCTGAACCCTATGTCGGAACGATAAAATATTTCCCCACTTACCGTGGCCATATGATCTTTGTCCTTAAAAAATATAAATCTTTTCGATGCATTACATTTAAAACGCCACAGGGAAGGTTTTTTAATAACAACATCACTCGTCTCTCTCCAGTCTGATATCTGCCCTTCTTTTTTATCTCCCTTTCTTCTTCTTCTTAACGGGCCATTTGACTATCTGCAGCGTTTTTAAAAGTTCTATTGATGTTTTCCCACTTCATTGTCTCAGATTCTTCAACCAGGACGTGCGTCTTCTCCCGGTCCTCTTTTGCCTTCCACATTCTTAGTATGTGACCTAAGTACTCGTACTACTCTTAGTATGTGACTCGTTTTTTACTATGTGACTCGTTTCTTAGTATGTGACTGTGACTACTATCCTCTATTTATCTGTTGTTGTCAATTGCTTTTGTTTTTCTACTTCTTGAACTACTTTGTGCACTTTTTCTTTGATTTGTTGGTATATATCAGTTTCTTTTAGTTTTCTCAGATTGATTCTCCGGGTTTTGGTAGTTGTTTTTAACTTTTTTAACTTAAGTTTCATGTTTGCTAGAACTAGATTGTAGTCACTTGTTATATATGCTCCTGGGTACGCTTTAGCCGATATTATGGCATTTCAGAATCTTTGATTTATTATTATATAATCTATTTGGTTTCTTATTATAATTTCACCATCATATCTAGGTTCTTTCCATGTATATATTCTTCGATTTTGGAGTTTATACCACGTGTTTTTGATAATGAGTTCGTTATCTTTGCAAAACTGAACTAGTCTTTCACCTCTTTCATTATGTGTTTCCAGTCCGTGTTCTCCTACTACTTCTCCATCTCTTCCTTTCCCTACCTTTGAGTTGAAGTCACCTAAAATCTAATTTTCTTCTACTTTTTTAGTTTCATTGAATGTTTTGTTTTAAATCATTGTAGAAGCTGTTTACTTCTTCCTCTGTGCTATCAGATGTTGGTGCATACACTACAATGATGTATCTCCCTTTCTATCATACCGAAAACCCTATCTGCTGACAAAACTGAATGTGGATAAGTTGACAGTACATTCTGTAAAGCTTTGTAAAATTTAGATCACATGGTAAATACAATCTAGTTGATCATGACTTTCTGCACCGTTTATTGGATCAAATCTACCTTTTGTTGTATCTCCCACTCTTCTCTCTTTTGGTATTTCTCTCCGAATAACAAACCTTCTTATAACATGCTCTATTCTTTCAGAACTTAAATGAGTTATTCCAAGAAATGTTAAACTCTTAAAACTTCATTCTCTACTGCAGGAACAAAATGTTAATTGAAATTCCATGTAGCTTTGTACTTGATATCTTGGGCTTTTGACCTTCACACAAAATTTCAGCAAAAAATATCTTGTTTTATTTTGTCAGTGGTTAAAAACATATTATGAAACCGCTGAATGTCTCGCATCTTTAAATATTTACAACGATACACTTTCTTTGTATGATTACAGGTGGGAAACTCGGGTAAATCCTTAGGTTTATGCCTAAAACATTGACAATAAGTCCGGATTATATTCATTTATTTGTAGACACCTCTTACCTCTTAAGTTTAATTATATTTCGTTTCCATTTTTCTGTTTGTACAACTCGTTTTCTCCCTTTTCCTTTTTCACAAGGTCTAATATGCACATGAAGATCCATAATGTTAATTATTTGCAATAAACTTGGTGTTTTTAGCACTCAAATAACAAACAGTACACCCGGACGCATGTGCGCCTTCATAATGGCGTATGATGACGTAATTGACATGTGCACATGTGATGTGTCATGTGACTCAAGCAATGTAATTGATTGGAAAATTGCAATTACACAGTGATACAACTGACATAAGCTCACAAATACAGAGTTGTGCATCTGACTCAAGATTTCTAATGTCTATTTCTTAGCAAATACCTGACTTTGCAGCTGAATTTCTACATCAGCAGACAGCTATAACAAGTAACTGTCAGCTGAACTCAATTATTACAATTTTTGAAAATACAAAGTTTTTGCACCTAGTGGACTCATATATAGTCTACAAGTTCAGGAAAATACATATATAATGATTGTATGTTACAATAAAAAAACTAAAAGGATGTCTATTTTGTGGTTATTTTCAGGTTATGAATACTACAACTTGTTGACGCATCACCACAGAAAAGTTCTAATATTCGCTCCGTGCGTGACCATGGTAGGGGTACATTGAAACGACGTCAGCGTGCATAGCGGCGAAATATGACAAAATTGGAATATTGGACAAAATATTTTTACGCATAAATTTTATCAAAAATGTGTGCAAATACATGTTGCGTATTTAATTGTGCTAATAATAGCAAAACCAGTGAGTGTAGTTTTTATAGGTTACCAAAGATTACATATAAATTAGAGAAAAGAAAAAGATAAATTCCTGCTATTAATATGAAAAAGTAAATATCACATAATTTCATTTTTACGCAATTGAAATAGGAAAAATTTAAATAATTTACCTTGAATGATATTTCATAAGGCTTCAAGCTAACTGCAGATGACTTTATCTTTTATATCATAACTTTTACTATTATTGTTTTTAATTATATGCTCTTTTGCGTGAAAAACTTGATTTGTCAGTACTAGATTTTTCCCTTTCTCTTACGTTTGGAGTTGAAAAGATATATTATGATGAATTTTGAGAGAACCCAGTTTTTAATACTACATTTATTTTGTACATAAACTGAAAAAATATAGTTAAACAACTAGTTTATTAATAATTGTCAATTTCGCATGTATTTAACAATGTCAAACATATGCCATATGTTTAACCTGAAAATTGGGACTCCAAAATTGTCAGAAAAAGGCGGTAGGTGTCGTGTCAGTCACGCACGGAGCGAATATCGCTCGTGGATAAATGGAACGAGCAAACAGGCATGTCCTTGTTGGAAAAAAGGTGTTGATACATATTTTTACACAAATTATTTAACTTACTTCAAATTATTTCGGGAACAGGCGTTGTTAAACGCTTCTCTGGCATTCTCAAAGTCCTTATTCCCATATGCAGCAAAAGAGAATTGGCCCAACTTTCCAAAGAAATCGTCGACAACTTGCTGCATCTTTTGTACGCTAGATGGTGCTAATATCTGGTCACGTTCTACAGGTTGGAATAGTAAATCTTCCAACAGTAAAATGACAGCTACGGAGGCTATTCGTATTTGGAAATTAGATATTTCTGCCGTAGGATCTGAGTCGACGTTGTTAGCTGAAATAAATAATTATTATTACCTTGTACTAGTGTAGTTTATGTGTCTGATTGACCTAAAGAAAGCGTTTGACAGAGTAAGACTCAAAGATGTAATCCATCTTCTGTATAATAGAGAAGTTCCACTAAATATTATAAAACTATCGAAAACATCTACCAAAACAACAAATAAAACTCAGAATAGATGGACAATTTACAGAACCTATAGAAATATGTAGCGGAATAAGACAAAGGGATTCAATGTGTCCCATGTTCTTCAATTTGATCAGAAAAAAATAGTAGCCAGCAAAGAATCAACTAGATGTAAAATAGAAATTGATGGCATCAGTATTAAACAAGTAATGGGAATAAAATACCTGGGAATTACACTTTCTAGCTATGGAGACCTGGACAAAGAAGTGAGAGATCAAGTACAAAAAGCAAATAGACTGACAGGGTGCCCTAATAACACTATATGGCGAAACAGACACAGTAACACTGAGATAAACTCAGTGTATAAAGCCAGTGTAAGACCAACAACGACATATGCCTCAGAAACAAGACCCAACACAGCGACACCGCAAAGGCTACTGGAAACTGCAGAGATGCGAGTACTGAGAAGAATTACAAGTCATACCACTCACGCAAATTTGATTTCACGAAAAAATTGTAAAACAAAAGGCAAATTAAGGATTGGCTAATCGAAAAGAACATGTTCTTCGAGAAAGATTACCTAAAAAGTGAATTACTGTATACTGCGGCCGCATTTAGAGACGAGTAAGATAAGTACAAAATAGAAACAAATTGCGGAAATATATGGCTTTAAGATTTGAGACTGCCGCCTTATCATTGCTAGCTGAACCCGATTGAGATGGTATGGAGGCAAGTGAAAAGGTATGTAGCTTCAAACAACGTCGATTTTAAAGAAAAAACGGTAGAACGGTTAATAAAAGAAGCTGATATTAAAAATAATAATAATTTACTACACTATTAAAGTAAATTAAGAAACCATCTTGTGCTTTGGCAGAGCATGTAATAGACAAAAGACCATATTATGGTTTTGATAATATTAAAATTTTATGTAATGAAAGTAATAAATTTAAAAGAACTTTTTTGGAAATGGTTTGTATTAGCAAAAGTGATAATAATTTAAACAAAAGGTCAGAAATTCAAAATTTAAGCAAAATTTATAATTATATAATTTCTATTTAATTTATGCAGTCAGTAAAATATCACATTTGAATTTTCCATGTATTTGTTACATTTTTTCGGGCATCTATCAATGGTGAATAAATCTTCTTCTTTTTTGTTACTAAACAAAGAAGAATTTTTTAAACAAAATTTTATTTTTGACAATATGTCAAAATAAAAATTTTTAAGTTAGTATTTATGACATTTAGGCTGGTTGTAGCTATTCTATTTTTGTTTATAAATTCAATTTTTTTCTTAAGAAACTTCATCTAAATTTTTCAGAGAAACATTTATTAGAATAAGACATTTTTTTATTAATATTTTTTGTATTTAATATGTAAGCAGTAGTTTTATATTAAAAAACTAATTTTATTTGGTGAGTTAACAAGAAATTTTTTATTTCTAGTTCAACTTTGTAAGACATTTTGTATTTTTTAGAAGCTCTTGATAAAAATTGTAATCACAATTGAAAGCTCGAGTAAAAAATAGTCAACAAATAGCCCTTTTATTGACTCCAACCCATCAAAAACAGTGTTATATATATATATATATATATATAAATATATATATATATATATATATATATATATATATTGAAAATCTTAGTGCTATATACAGTAATCTTCTTTTAAATAAAAGATTAACAATATAAAAGTTCTTAAAATTACGCATATGAAAGGGATTATTCCAAGTTCAATGAGATAACAATTTATTTTTATTTGTATTTTTTCTTTCTTAAATACTTAGTAACATAAACTCTGTTGCTTGTTTAATAACTAATATTATATCAAAATTTGCAATGAAGGTTTGCATAAACATAGACACTTCTTCTGTCAAACTCACCTAAAATAAATATAAAAAATAGAAGAGATATGGAAACCTTAGTAATAAGTTTTGACAGAAATAAAAATAAATCAAATTTATGTCATTATGTTAATGACATAATGACAAAATGTAAAATTTTGCTAATTTTAAAAGACAATTCTCACAAGGGTAAGCCTATTTAAGACATAAGAACTTCATTTTTCTAATGTAAATTTTTTATGTTAATTTTTAGTATGTTTTGAAAAAGAGTAAAATAAACTCGAAAGCTTAGCAAACCTAAAAGAGTTTTACTTAAAGGCCAAATATATTGACTACTAAACCCAATATATCCTTATATATATATATATATATATATATATATATATATATATATATATATATATATATATATATATTGGAGAATCAGATGTTACGGACTAGTGTAAAGATCAGGATCAGTCATGAACGATGTACCCCTATATATAAATAGTATTGAAAGGCTTTTGCTGTACTTTGGTACGTTTTGTAAAAAATATTATAGAAAAAAAAAAGAAATAAAAATGGAAAGCTAAGGAAGAAAGCTCACAAAAAAAGAAGAATAGAAGATATACCTAAGAAAAATAAGACGAAGACATGGAGAGGGAAAAACGAAAATTTAATGTAACACAATCATTAAAACAGATGATAGAATATGAAAGTCATATGATGGTTATTATTCAAGCAATTATACTTACTTAGTCGTCTTGTTCTGTGGGTGTGATCCGTCATAGAGCTTATCATGCTGGAATTCATGCTGGACTCCATGCTGCTGCTAATGCCTGAAAGAGTGCTGTCGAACATTCCACTTACCGTATTTTTCATTGGAAGAAAATTATCATCTGCTGTATTATCATCTAAAATAATACAAGTAATATACATATAAGCAAAATGGCAACAATATTAACTTTAACACAAATTTTTAAATCAAAATAAGTAGCTCGTCCAGCATAGAGCTAAGAGAAGTAAAATAAATCAGTTATACTAAATTGTTATAGGCATCATACTTTTTGATATGAAACACCTATTGCAGCGGGTTAGACCGGCTACTGCGATGGCGAAGATTCGCATGCCTTGTATGCGCTTGTAACTCTTCTATTCTCTCTGCCGTTCCACCTTAGCTTGGCTACTTCTCACTTATACTAATGTAATGCAGTGTTGATATTATATATTATACTTTAGTTATTATCGAACAATTAGCTCAGTTATACCGGTAGAGGTAGCATCGAATATTACCAAAAGAAAATATGATATTAAATCAATAGAAATTTTACTACTAATGGGACTCCTTCCCATGGCCTGGAATCTTATATGAATGACTTGGTTCATTCCCCCATCCTTGGTTCTACCCCAGCGAGTTAATAAAAGGGAAATGACAGTCTATCTCTCTCACGAAAACTTTAACCAATCATAAACCAAATAAAATAATCAAACGAAGCAATGTCAATTCTGTCAAAATTACTGACAGATCTTCTGTTTGTTTACAAGTTTTCAATTTTATTTTATTATCTTTAACTTTCGTTTGCATTTATTCTTAGTCATTTTAATTTAAATTTGGTTACTTAGTTTTTAAAGTTTAGTTTGAGTTATCTATTATAGCAAGGAATTTTTGTGTTGTGCTAGTAAAAAAAACTAAACATGGTGAATTATTGTATTGTTCCGTTGTGTACAAATCATGGAAAAATTACAAACAGGATGATTGTAAGTTGTCAGGAAGCAAAAAATAATAGTATTTAACTTCTGAAAATATGTGTAATATATATTATGTAATTAGTTTATAGCTGTTTTATCTTAACAAATAAATATACGTGTATCTAGAAAAAATTGTGCATGTTTTATATCCTTATTTTCCAGTAAATTTTAATTAGTAAAGAAATAGTCCGCAAGAGGCGCTAAAGGATATGTATGTAGGGGGTGTCCATTCGAATTTGCCGCCAAAAGATGATTAGTATTGACCTCAGCCGCAAGGGGTCCTAATGAACGAAATTTATACATTGAGTTGCCTATCTATTTCTACTATTATATTAGTTATCTATGCTCCTTCCCTTGATGCAATACCTACATCTTCCTTTTGTGGTATGTATTGGCCAATGCCAATCTTATTTTTGGAAAACCATCCTGTCACAAACTTTGTCTTCCTCTTCCGGAACCTTTTCCAACTTAACACGATGCTTTTGCAGTGTCCAATTTAAATTTCTTCAGAGTCATGAACTTTATGTTTATTACAATCTATTCTCTACAACAGCCAAGCATGGTTGCATTATCCAGTAAATATTGAAATATTTTGAATGTGCTCGATAAAGGGTTAAATAGCTGTTACAAAGGCATGTAGTCATTTTTACAATTAGATGTACTTAATGTATAAATAATTACCTAAAGGTGCGGAGGACCAGCCCTGGGCAGCTTGTAACCCAGCAATCTGAAGTTCAGAAAGAGACTGCAACTGGTATTGAAGTTCTTGTTCGACCCTCTGGTAATCTAGTACTGTCATGGGTTTAGATGTGCATTGTGATCTCGGTGCGACATTACTAAAATTACAGAAAAAATCTCAAGCTGCTGAATACAAAAATAAATACCACTACTTACCTTTTATCCACAGTATCGGGTTTAGATAAACCATCTGCAAGTTCTAGAAGAACATGGAATTGTCTTGGTGATAAAAATACTATGAAAGATCCTAGCATTACATCGATTGATACCTTCGGCCCGGTAAGGCTTTCTGATTGTTTTAATTTAACTCTAATCTAAAATCGAATTGAAATAAATAAAAATAAGTATATAACAAATATATTTTTAGTTCTTGCTTCAATTTTTAGTTATATTTTTGGAGGTTCCATGGTCAGGAGTGTTTGAAATATCTTTACCTACTTACCTCTAAGTCTAGTTGTTATTATGTAATAAAATTTATATCGTTGTGAGACTTGCGTGCTGTTTAACTCGACTTCAAAGAACAGCTTAATAAGCAATTATAAAACTTAAATTTATTTGTGTTAAATTCACATTTCTCAGATAATAAATTATTTTAGTTAGGATGAAACTAGACAGTTACATATATATATATATATATATATATATATATATATATATATATATATATATATATATATATATATATATATATATATATATATATATATATATATATATATATATAGTTTGAATTTAGTTCTTGAACCTTAATATATATTTTTTTAGTGGATTCTCTTGGGCTTAGGTTCATAAAAAAATTTAGTTTGATACTAAGACATTTTTTATATATTTTTTCCGACGTCTCGGCAGGAAATCCATGCCTTTTCAAGAATATATATTGACAAAAAAAAAACATTTCATGACAGAACATAATACGGTTTAAAAAATAAACTTTTGACTTACCAAGCATGTAAATATTAGGTATTAACAATTATACGTCACAATTAAAATAATATTAAAACATAGGACATACCCACTAAGTCACTACAAGTAAAATGTATTTTAAATCTAATGTGTTATTTATTGATGTTTGTTTATCGTTTACACAATCAGTTATTTTAACATCATAGGCGTTCTCAGATTGACTTTTTATGTGTTTTTAATTAAGTTAAAATATATTTTATTCAAATCTTTTTTATCATTTATTGCGTTATTATTTTTTTTTATTTGTATAGACTCTAGAAGCTCTATCTTTTTCCTGTTGGATTCACTTTTTAGAATCTTGGTTTTCTCAAAATCAAATTTATGTTTTTTTTTTTCGATTTCATGTTTTGTGAGGGCGGTTGAGTTTTTTTTGTCATATTTGTGGGAACGTATTCTTGAATTAAGTAGCTGACTGGTTTGTCCAATATAAACTCCATCACAATTCGAGCAGGGAATTTCATATACAACATGCGATCTTTTTAATAGAGGGGTTTTTGTTTTCAATCTTGTAAAATTCCTTTTCAAAAGATTGTGACCTTTATGAGCAACCGTAATATTATGTTTAGACAGAAGATTTGCAATTTGTTCTGATAATCCTTTTATATAAGGGAGAGACATATAGTTTTTCTTTACCGTGTTGGTTTCATTGTTATTATTGTTATTGTAGAATTTATACAGTCGCAATTTGAAAGTGTTGTCGATGGTGTGGGTATGAATTAAGTGTTAGTGCTGTTTTTGCTTTTTTAATGGCCTGAGATCTATTTATAGAGAATCCACTAAATATATATATATATATATATATTATATATATAGATATATATATATATATATATATATATATATATATATATATATATATATATATATAAGTAATTTTCAATATTGGGTTTGCAGCAATAAAAATGATACGTATACTCTTTTAAATTTTTATTCCGAGCTTTCGGACATGGTTATGTCCTTCATCAGGGAGCTACAAATGTGATGAATAGTTTGTTACAAGTTTGTATAATTAATTAAAGATTCGCTACTTACAAACTTAATGAGGTTGGATCATCAATGATTTTCTACCATGTCGATAAAACTTATCACAGTCTGTCATATTTTTACATAAAACTTATTCCTATATTTAAAATTTTTAAAAATTGCTTTACAATCACAAACACTTACTTATTATACACACATTTCTGACATTTTTATTCTTAATTTTATTATATCGTCATTAGTTTTTTCTCAAGACAATTCAGTGGTTTTTATTATTAGATACTAGTACCAAATTATAGGCCTATCATTAGATGTATTGTGGCTATATGGTAGTTTTTACTTTAATTTGAGCTACTATAAATACTGGAAATACAGCCGAGTTACAAGTGAAAAATCGCCTAAAATGCCTTAATTTTGCAATATTTTTCAATATCTCCGCTTCTAAATATTGAATCAAGGATTACTATAACAAACATAATTTTGTAGGATTTTTTAAGGAACACATTGCAAATGACTACAAACATGCGACAAAGTACCAGGCGATCATTAATTCTGGTTCATAAAATGTTTGGATATACGCGACGCGATTTTTAGTCTACAAGTTCTAGTCCCAAAGTGTCCAGCAAAAAGATTGGTTTAATTGTTTTGTGGACTCCGAAAAAGCGTTTAACCGTGTTAGTCATAACTCTTTCGTTTTTGTTGACTCATTTGCTATCATTTTAATTAAAAGAAACAATATTTTTTCAGGTAATTATTTTTACTTCAAATAAAATAGATCATAAACAAGTGCGAGTCCGTGCGCGACCTCGAATATTATAAAACTGGCGCGCTCACTGAAGGGTTAAATAATCGAAAATATATTATATTGGCAACAAAAAGAGAACATCAAAATAGATGGCGCTGTATCTGAAGAAACTGTTTGAATAAATCCATTCGAACATATAAATCTATTAATTAATATTTTTAATTTAGTATTCAACTCCACTTTTGACAGATGTTTGACAATGACATTTTACAGAATTATATCATTTTTTTAGAGTGAACAAAGGTGCACTCACTCTAAAAAAATTATATAATTCTGTAAAATGTCATTGTCAAACATCTGTCAAAAGTGGAGTTGAATACTAAATTAAAATATTAATAAATAGTTTTATATGTTCGAATGGATTTATTCAGTGGCCTTTTTTTTGAAGTGTTCGAAGTTTTTGCATGGTTCTCTGGGTGGCCTTTGACAAATGGTTACCACATCTCCGCAGCTCTTGATCCAGGATCTTTGTGATAACGACTTGGATAGACAATAGTGCACATACACTTTCGAAAGACTTGTTGGCTAGTAAGTAGTATTTAGTAGTAGGATTTTTGTTTAGTTCTTTATGCATTTGTACTAATTTTATTTATGCTATTTGTTTTTCCCTCTTTTTCTCTATAATAAATCGTTTTGTACCTTTGGATAGCTTTTTGAACCGTTAGTGTTAGGACATTCTTATATTACAGGTAAGAGCTCTCATATTTTTTTAACCAGCAATCTATGCTATACTCTCTATCTCATTTTAGGACATTCTTCATGTTTGTCCTATTTTGTAGATACTAATTTTATCTACAGAAACTGAAATCAAAAGGGATGTCTGTTCGGAAAATATTTTTAAATCGCCAATAAAAGAAATAACGGAAGGTGTGAAAGTAATGGGAAAACAATGAACAACATTGGTTATGCCGACGATACCGTGTTGGTGGCAGATTTGGACGTGGCCATTGAAAGGGTTAACGGTTACTGTGAGGAAAGAGGATAAATTCATGAAAACCCAGGGTTTGGCGTTAAACAAGTCACAAAAAGTAACTAGTGCAATCTACATACATGAACAACTAAAACAAATACCTGGCTATATGTGTGTTCCTAAAAATGAAGAATATATTTTGCAATTTTGCATGAATTGTATAGCGTGGAAGATTAAAATCAATATGAATAATAGCTTGAAATCCTTTGAAATGCAACTTCTACGTCAACTGCTAAAAAATCTCTGGACTGCATAAGTAGAAAATGAGGAGGCACTGAGGCAATCAGGTATATACAGAAAATTATTTACAACTATTAAGATTAGAAAAACTATATTGGGATCGTGCAAGTTCGGAACAGCGACACCTGGTGTCGTAAATAAGCAAAATTTACTGCGCTTTCATGTTAGTTCGAGGTTACCGGATAACTGTCAAGGACGTAGCCCCATAAAAGAATAAGAAGAGAAAGTAAGATTGAGGTTATGTCGGTATGTTATTAAAAGGTAAACGTTTTGTATGTAGTGTAAATACAAATAAATATATTATTAAATTACAGCATTACTGTTAATATGGATGCAATAATAAAAACTGGATTTGAGAAAGTAAATCACCAAATAACTTTTCAACCAAGCACTGAGTCAAACGGAAAAGCTTTAGTAGTGGCAAATGTCAAAAAAGAATGGAAGAATTATGTGGAAGAATTAAGAAAAATAAATTATCATAAATAATGCTAATGCATAAATTAGCAGGTTAAGCCCATGATATCATCATATTGGTTTGAACAATTAATTCTTTCCCTGTAAACTTTTGGACAGCGAATATATCTTAATGCATCTTCAGAAAAACTTGAACTTGATTAACTTTTTGGGTTAAAATGAACTCTAAGTGAGTGTTATGAAACTAAAATTTACACTTAAAAGTGAACTTTTATTTATTTCAAATTGACTTTAAAATCGGGCGCAAGAATAATGCATAATTTAGGTTATGTTACTTATGCTTTTTTATGATATAAATCCACTTTTCTCTTTGTAGTAATTTGTGCTTCGAAGTTGGAAACGAATAAAACTTGAATTGACAATTTTTTGTTGTATTTTTACAATTTATAACACAGCATTTCCTAAATCCCATTTTCCTCAGTGACAGAAGGTGTAAATAAACAAACGAATATGAAACGAGTATGAAAAAATCTATGAAATTTGCAGTAAAAAATGCAAGATTTCTCCGCTACTCGCGCACGATCGTTTCTCGTATCACATCCAAGTACTTGCACGTCGCCAATACCTATGCCATATTATGGGAAGTATAAGGAAAGACGGTTATAAGAGAAAGAAATATATCATGACTCAATAACATCCGAAAGTGGTTCGAATTAAATACTTTTATCTTATTAAGAGCAACAGGAAACCGCGAGGAATTCCCAAAGTAATAGCCAACCTCCAGTAGGACAGGACACTAAAAGAAGAAGTTCAAGTAGATCCGAAAAACCCTAATACAAAATTAATATTATAATTGCAATTAACAATGGAATTATGATGGATTTTATCCGAGTCCACATAGTTTTCTACACAAACAGTGTTACCTTTTTCAATGGTTCGAAAGCATCCATAATTATAATAATTTGGTAAGTAATATTAATGTTGGTAAGTAAAGTATAAACGAGTAAAGAGTATTGTAAAGCACAAATCGCTCACAACACATACGACTCTGATGTTACCTTAAAATCCTTAATATTTCAAAAGCAAGAAACATAATATACAATATAATTACCTCTTGTGTGCCTGAAATATAACCAAACTTGATAACATTTCGCTGCCCGTTAAAAGTTTTTTTCCGTATCTTTTTCCTCGTTAACTTCTTCCTCTTCCTCCTCCTCTTTCGGAACCCCTTCATCCTCCTCATTTTGTGGCGTCGGAAGAGAAAAATCACTACCTATATTAGAACTTTCTATCACAGTAACTAACGAATCGTTTTCAGCTTCCAAATGAGATTGAGTTAACACGGATCTACTAAAAGTTCGTGCCTTACTGAAAAATTCGACCGTTGAAAACGTCATTCCCGTAATTATGAAGTTTTTCGTAGTGTATGAGTTCACGACGTACGCTTTCTTTGAGTCTTGATTTGTCTGATCCAGATTTTCTTCTGTAGAAGGATCGTTGCCTGCTTCATCTGAGTATTCAATCCTAAAAGAATTGTTTAATTTTAAAAACAATTAAAGAAGTAAAATACATTGAAAACGTAGTATTATCAGTATTCTTTTTCATTGTTTTGAATGGGAGACATATCAATTATAGGTTGGGTGATCAAATTATTAGAGCCACCTACTAACCAATAACCAACGTTTTTTACAAGACGGGTATATAATTAAGCTGTATATGTAATAATAAACTCTTGGACAAAATTAACGCACCACTTTAATTAATCTAAATATTTACTATATGAACACAAAATAAAACTAAGTTAAATTGAAATAATAATAAACAACTACAAATAAGTCCAACATGACTTTATCATGACCTTTATTTGCCTTATTGTTTGTTTAAAAATTTGTTTTTGCCGGAAATGTAAAAAAATCAGTAAAGTAACACAATAAAATGCATTTGGGTTAACACTAATACCGTGTAGACCCTCCTCTACTTCTTATTACTGCTTTTAAGCGTCGAAGCATGCCTGACATCAAATGTTCAACACAAGCTTGCGAAATATTCTCCCATTCTTCAATAACGGCCTCAATAAATTGATTGTAATTGGCAATAGGGGTCTACTACTTCGAATCTTTTTTTTTGAGATAGTCTCACCGATGCTCTATAGGATACATGTCTGGATTGTTAGGTGGCCACTCTAATAATGGAATATCACCATCATTTAGGTAGCCAATAATGTGTCGAGGCACATGAGGACGAGCGTTGTCTTGCATGAATAAAAAATTAGGTCCAAGAAACGGAGCAAAAGGCATTACATGTTCGACAATAATGTTGTCTAAGTAATAATGGGCATTCATAGACCTCGTACGTATGGGATCAACTCCGTACGAGCTTCAAAACAAATTCCCCCCCAAAACATTTTAGAGCCACCACCAAAAGGTACCTTACGAGATATTACAGCTGGCAAACCTTTCTCCAGACACGCTTACGACCATCTGGAGTTTTTAGGCTTACTTTAGTCTCATCGGAGAAAAGAACTCGTTTCCAATCATCGATGGTTCAATTTTGATGCAATCTTGCAAAATTAAATCTCTGAACCCTGTGTTCTCTGGTAAGCAAGGGTTTTTTAACCGGTTTCCTGTTGCTCAACTCTGCTTCATGTAAATGTCTGCTAACTATTCGAGACGATATCGCGACATTTCGAACATCTGCTAGTTCACTTTTTAGCAAATTGCTGGTGACTCTCCACTCTTAAAATAATTGGGAATTGAGAATAGAAGAAATCTTTGTAAAAGTGGTGTACATAGTGAAAGGGAAAAAGCTAGTTTAAGAAACCTCAATAAAGAAATAAAACGAAGATGTAAGGCCGACAAAAAACAATACTATCAAAGTATATGCAAAGAAATTGAGAGACATGGTCAGAATAATCAGCCGAGAGATCTATTTAGAAAAATACGCTACCTGACAAGAGACTTCAGAGCCAAAACTTGGGCTATTGAAGATAACACTGGGACCCTGAGAAAACAGAGAAGACACAGCAGAGACATGGAGATCGTATTGCAGGGACCTATATAAAGATGATCAACGCCAAGAGCTTGTTAGCCAAATCTTTGACGAGGTGGAAGAACCTGATATACTCGAAAATGAAGTAAGACAGGCTATCAACAAGCTCAAATATAACAAAGCACCAGGTCCAGATATGATAACAGCAGAAATGCTTAAAGCCACAGAAGAAACCGGCGTAAAGTTACTTCATCTACTCTGTAACCAAATATGGCATTCCAAACAATGGCCTGAAGACTGGACAAAATCTACAATAACGACCATACATAAAAAAGGCAGCTTCCATAAATGCGACAATTATAGAACTATCACTCTTATATCCCATGCCAGCAAGATAATGCTACATATAATCAATGAGAGACTGAAAACAGTCCTTCAAAGAGAAATTCCACAAGAGCAAACTGGATTTACCAAAGGTAGAGGCACTCGAGAACACCTGCTGAATATAAGACAGATAATCGAGAAATCTAGGGAATTCAACATCCCACTATACATCTGTTTTATAGATTACCGTAAAGCGTTCGACAGGGTCAAGTGGAGACACTTATGGCGAATACTAAAAGAAGTAGGCGTACCACAACATCTAATTACGCTTATAACTGAACTATATGAACACACTACTGGATCAGTTAAAGTACTTGACACACTTTCGAACGAGTTTCATCCAGAACGGGGTGTCAGACAAGGATGTATACTATCTCCACAATTATTCAACATATATGGAGAGTATATTATGCGAGGAGCACTTGAAGGATGGGAAAAGGGCATCTCAATAAATGGTCAAACTAAACAACCTACGTTTCGCAGATGACACATTTCTTGCAAATAGTCAAGCAGAGCTGATGGAACTTATACGACTGATCGAAAACGAAAGTCAAATAATTGGTCTGCAATTAAACATATCAAAGACAAAGATCATGATAGTGGATAGACTACACAACAATCATCCACACATAACCACAATTGACCGGTTCGAGGTTGTGAGCTCATACTTATATCTGGGATCATTAATCACAAACACAGGGTCATTACACGAAGAGATTAAAACGTAGATGTGATCTAGCAAAAGTTGCCACAGCAAAAATGACCAAAATATGGAAGGAATGTCAAATTTCAAGAGCGATAAAGATGAGGTTGATCAACTGCTTAATATTCCCAATACTGACTACGGATGTGAATCTTGGACTCTGAGACAATCGGAGAGAAGAAAGATAGACGCCACTGAAATGTTCTGTTGGAGACGAATGTTACGAATTCCTTGGACCGACCGTAGAAAAAATAATTCAATTTTAAGAGAGCTAAAAGTTAGCCAACGACTCTCTAGTAAAGTCCATCTCCAACAATTAAAATATTTTGGGCATGTTATGAGAGCAAACACAGAAAACATGGAAAGACTCATAATACAAGGAACGGTAGAAGGCCGAAGATCACGAGGAAGATCCCCAACAAGATGGATAGATCAAATTACAGGAATATGCCAAAGACCTATGCATTAATTAAAAGAAATGACCAGAGACAGAGATCTCTGGAGACGGACAATACACGACATCACGTCGACCACTACACTCCCCCTGGGGGGTCAGGATTGAAGAGAGAGGTGACTCTCCAATCTCTGAAAGCACGTTGTCTCAAAAAACGATCATCAATTTTATTAGTGCAACGTTTTCGCCCTTGCCCTAGTCTTCGATGGTACGACCCTGTTTCATTATATCGCCTCACCTTGCGACTGATGCTGGAACGATGTATTCCTAACAAACGTGCAACGTATCGCATTGAATATCCTTCATCGAGGAGAGTCGATGCTCGCACTGCCTCCTCCATTGATAAATTTCTTTGGCGGTTCATTTTTTTATTTGATTTTTATGCAACTGAACTTCCAAGTATGTATGTGATGAAAAATATCACAATAAAAAGCTTGTTTCCCACAAGCACTTTGCTTTAATCGACACTTTTTATGAAAAGTTTACGACACTTTTAGTCTAAAGTGAAGTTTCAAACAAATTATTGTTAAAACAAGACTACATAACTTACATAACAACTGTCACTGTCAAACAAGGTCCATAGGCAACTTGCCGTACAGTGGATTATCAATGAATAAAGATTATTGAAGTGAAGATAAAATATGAGTGGTGCGTTAATTTTGTCCAGGAGTTATATTCATTCGTTTGTTTCCATTTTATCATGTAGTAATAATGTGAAATTGCAATAAGCCTAGCAGAGCAGGTTTCGGATCTTGAAATCTTATTTGAGAAACGTATAATGAAACGTCAAAATGAACGCATATGTTAAACTAAAATCTTGTGGTAAAATTTAAGCAAAAAAATTTAGATAAAAACGTATACTTACAAATCAATGTTGATGACTATGCCCACTCCTGTTGTGCTTTGTTTTGGAACATGTTCAATTTGAAATACTGTGTCAATAAATTTTACTTTCACTCTACTTAGAACTAAAAATTAAAAAAAAATATATTTTAAACTTTGCATTCTAAACCAGTATATTACACAATAATTATGAGCGACTTTAATGATGTTGTTGTTTAAATGGTGTTTAAACAAGATGATGCAGAAGTAGCAATGGGTAAGTATGGATATGACGAAAGAAATGTACGAGGGCAAAGATAGCTGAGCTTCTTACGCCAGGAAAATTTATCCATGATTAATATGAACAATACGCAAGTAATGAGGGAGACCTATGTCCAGCAGTGGACGCATACAGGTTGATAATGATGATTTTATATAAATCATAAATAAAGAATAAGAAGTACTTTATTGACTCTTTGGTGGGTTAGAGTCAATAGAAGGGACTGTTGGATGACTATTTTTTATTGCCCAATCTTTCAAATGTGATTACATTTCTTTTTAAGAGCTACAAGGAAAAAGTATTCGATTAACTGAAACAAATAATAATTGTTTGAACAAAACTACGTTTTTTTTTGAATGCCTGATTATTTGTTTCCGCCAAGTTACAACCTTTGGTATTATGGATTTCAACTAAACAGAGAAAGAAATCACTTTAGGCATTTTATGTACTTACTTGAGTCGATGGTTTGGGCAAAAAGTTTAATTCCTTCATAAGCTTCCATCGGATTTGACGTATTCACTCCACAATCTTGTTTTGCGCATTCTTCAGCTAGCTGCATGGAACTGGTCATTGAATTCCACATGGATTCGAACATAGATGTCGCTAAAAATATATTGTTTTGTATAACACAACACAATAAAGAAAAGAAAGTTGTGAATAAAATAATCCTACTAAGGGAGACAGGTACAGATTGAATAACAAATAAAAAATAACCTTAACAAAAAATTGTATGAGTACTGTCCTGATAAACACAGATAAAATATTTATATCAAGTTGTATACCGTTCTAAAATTTCACAATATTCCTTCTTTTATATCAGTTTCTGAATGATAAAATCACAGTTTAAAATTATTTTGTTTCTTTCATTACACAGTTATTGTCAAGTGTGTACCAACGCAACTCTACCCGAATTTGCGTATAAAATACACGGTTCGTATATTATAAAAATTAAACTTCAAAATTATTGAAAATCTATATTTGCCAGTTTCCAACAAAACATATCGCGTGCTTTAAAAAATGATGTAACAAAATTGTCACTTATAAAGATCAATCCATACAAACACAAAATTAAAATATTATTCTACGGACATAACGACCGTTCAGCGCCAAGAGTCTTAAAAAACTGAAAAAACCTCATCAATTTTTATTACACCACTCTCGCGTTAAAATAAACAAAATAAATTGATGTGATGGCGATAAAATATAAAAATTATTGCCGACAAGTGGAAAGATTGTTATGATTTAAAAAGGTTTTATAGCTAAAGCTTTCGACGAATATCAATAAGAGATTTTGTAACTTCAACGTTCAAAGCGGTGGTATACAAACAAAATAATTATCAAATGGCTGTGACAGTTATCTAGCAAACGTGATGTGAGTATGTACTAAAAACCACCTCATAATATCTAATTTAATAATAATATCATAGTAATAAATTGTATTAATAACTAAAGCTGACAGTTGTTTTATATGTTTTTAAAAGCTCTACAGTAAAGATTGTTTTTAATGAAAAAGAGCGAATTACTGTTTTAATAATGAGTGGCTACATTGATAGAAAAATATCTTATAGTGAAGTAGCCAATTTATTCAACCATACTTTCACAAACCATTCTCTTATACATAAGGCGATAGTACAGTTCCTGTCATATAAAACTGGTACACTTTTTTTCCAATGTAATCCACTAATGGATGTTAGCGATCACATTTTCCATTAATTCTCTATTTCTTGCAATATGTATCAGATATTGTATGTCTATAATCCCTGTCCATTGCCTTATGTTTCGGAGCCAGGACATTTTCTTGCGTCCCATTCCTCTCTTGCCTTCAATTTTACCCTCGATTATAAGTTGGAGGAACTGGTATTTTTCATTTCGCATGATGTGACCTAGATACGCCGTTTTCCTTTTCTTGATGGTTTCGAAAAGTTGGCGTTCTTGGTTTATTCTTTTAAGGACATCTATATTTGTGATTTTCGCTGTCCATGGTATTTTTAGGATACGGCGATAAAGCCACATTTCGAAAGCTTCTAATCTGTTTATATCCCTCGTTTTGAGTGTCCAGCCCTCTACGCCATATAGCAGCACTGACCATACGTAGCACTTAGTAAACCTTAGTCTCAGTTGAAGATCGAACTCTGAACAAGTCAGTACCTTCTTGAATTTTACGAAAGCTTGTCGAGCTTGCTCAATGCGACATTTTACTTCCCTGTCCGATGCCCAGTCTTCAAAAAGCCACGATCCCAGGTATTTAAATTTACTCACTCTTTCAATGGATTTAGCATTCAGTGTTATGGTGGAGTTTTCAAGTGCATCCAAGTTTCTGGAGATGATCATGAATTTGGTTCTTTTTGGTATTAATCTCTAATCCCATTCGCTTACTGTATTCTCCGATTATAGTGACAAGTTGTTGAAGATCGACTATGTTGTCACAAATTTAGACACCATTATCAGCATATCGTATGTTATTGATCAATACTCCATTCACCTTGATTCCCATCTCTGCATCCTCCAAAGACTCTTGAAATATGGCTTCCGAATAAATGTTAAATAAAAGAGGGAAAGCACACATCCCTGTCGAACACCTCTTCTTATATGTATGGGTTTGGATATAGAATTGTCTATTTTTAACTGTGCCGTTTGATGCCAGTACAAGTTTTCAATGCATCTTATGTCTTTTTGGTCTATATCAACTTTCTTAAGAATCTGCATTAACTTGTGGTGTTGGACACGATCAAACGCTTTTTGGTAATCTAAAAAGCATAGGAGCACATCCTTCCTCTGATCGTAACAATTTTGGACCAGCACCTGTGTTGCTACTATTGCTTCTCGTGTTCCTAAACCTTGCCTAAACCCGAACTGGGAATCACTGATGTCCCATTCACATTTTTTGTATAATCTTTGATGTAGTATTTTTAAGAATATCTTTAAAGTGTAACTCATCAGGCTAATGAGTCTGTGATCCCCACATCTCTTTGCATTGACTTTCTTGGGCAGGGGAATAAAGGTAGAGCGTAACCACTGTTGAGGATAGCAGCCAGTTTCATAAATTAAATTAAATATTTTGTGTAGTGCTGAAATTCCCCTTTCATCTAGTAATTTGAGTATTTCTGACGGGATCTCATCTGGTCCAGGTGCCTTATTGTTTTTTGAATTTAATATTGCTTTTTCTATCTCCTCTTTGGTGATTGAAGGGCCAGTCAGCTGGTCGTCTGTATAAACTTCACTCATGGGTCTTTCGTCATGGAAGAGCTCCTGGATATAATTTTCCCATATATCAATTTTCTCCTTTTCACCCAGCACTATCTGGTTATCCTGATTAACTATGGTAGTTGGTCTTCGTTTTCTGTATATTCCAGCAGTCTCCTTAAGCTTTTTATGTAAATTACGGTCGACGTGCTGTCGTTGTAAATGTTCTAGATCGATACATTGTTGCTTAAGCTATTCGTTTTTTGCTATTCTTATTTTTGCTTTTATTTGCCTGTTAATGTTTTCATACATATTGCTGCCATCTTGGTCATTCTTGTGTCTTCGTCGTTCTTCCATTAGTAATAGTATTTCTTCTGCCATCCACTTTTGCCTCTTGTTATTTCGTTTGTACCCTAAGTTGTTTTTCATGATGTCTGTTACAGCACTTGTAATCGTATTCCATGTTGGTGTTAGATCTTCGGTAATGTTTGTCGTCAATATTTGAATTTGTGCGTTTATTTCATTGCTTATTTCTGCTTGTATCACTGGGTCTTTCAGTTTATCCAGTGCTATCTGTTGTTGAGTTTCAGGCTTGTTCTTGCATGAAAGAGCGATCTTTATGACGGCCAATTCGTTGTTGCCATCACAGATATCGGAAATGCACTAAATCTACATATAAAAAGAACGTTCAAAAATGTTTAAAAATTTTATATAGGTATTATTATCATTAACAAAAAACCGTATCTAATAAATTTAATAACAGAGGGAGGCTTGCGTTAATGCCCAAAATGTTCAAAGGATCTTTAACGTAATGGCGCAGGGAATATTCGAATGCATCTACTGTAATTTGGAGGATATATACATATCTACAGCGGAGTGAGTAAAGATAACAGAGCTAAGAGGGGAGTCTCTATTGCCATTCGAAAAAATCTTAAAAACAACATTAAATCGTGGACTGAAGTAAATGAACAACTACTAATACTGGAAATGAAAAAGAATGGGCACAATATCGTAATTGTCGGAGTATAAGCCCCAAACGAAGATGCAAATCCAGAAAGTAAAGACGATTTCTACGACAATATGAATGAAATACTCTCTGAAGTTAAAGAAAACTGTGGACTGATTTAAACGGCAGAGTAGGGACAGAAGAAAATAGCAGAGTCGTAGGAAGATATGGAGAACAAATAACCAATGACAACGGAATGCGTCTGAGAGATTTTTGTGAAATAATGTCTCTCAAAATTCTGAATGGATTTTTTCAACATAGAGACATCCACAAATTTATATGGATACAACCTACTAGGAATCTGCGCTCGATAATCTACTTTGTAATCCAACGTCAAACTTCCCAGCTGAAAACAACTGAGGTAAGGGTATACCGTGGATCAGAATGTGGATCCGACAATCATTTACTTATGGCCAATGTGATAGTTAACTATCGCAAAAACAATAACACTCAGGTACAGAATATAGAAAAGGGACAAAAAGTAACATCTCCTAAATATAACCTAGAAAGCTTAAAAGAAGATTCAACAAAATTTCTTTACAAATTAAGACTGGCCACAAAATTACAAAATGTGGATCGAGAAAATATAACAGCGAAAGAATTATACCAACAACTTAAAAAGTACATTCATGAGGCTGCAAGTGAAGCTTTGGGGTATAAAGACAAACATGAAACAAAAAATCAAGAATGGTGGTCGGAGAATATGCAAACGTTAGTAAACAAGAAGAAAACTGCTTATCAGAAATGGATGTCAACGAGAAAGGAGGAAGATCACAAGGTATATACGAAACTAAATCGAGATGTAAAAAGAGAAGTAGTGAAAAGTAAAAATGAGATGTGGGATCGAAGATGTGCAGAGGTGGATAGGTATATGGGTGGAACAAGAGTTGGGCAAGCGTGGAAGGTGATAAAGTCTCTCCGGAGGGAAGGAAAGGAAAAATCTAACTTAAAATTAATAGATCTGAAACAGTGGAAACAGCATTATGAGGTCTTATTGACAGAGGATAGACGTAAATTCCAAGATATCGAAATGGAAGAAATAGCTGAACATACACAAATAATTGAGATAACAACCGGAGAGTTAAGCGATGCCCTCAAAAGATCGAAAAAACGGTAAAGCAGCAGGACCTGGAGACATCCCAATTGAGTTGGTAAAGTATGGACCAAAAATATTACACGAGATGATGGTTAAACTATTTAATAAATGCTTAAAAGGACAAAATATCCCTGATGATTGGAATGTTGGATACATCAGCTCAATATACAAAAAAGGGGATAAACGCAATTGCTCTAATTATAGAGGAATAACTGTTACTAGCTCAGTTGGGAGGTTGTACGGTCGAATAATAAAAAATCGAATTGAATCAGAATATGAAGACATAGAGGAACAAAATGGATTTCGGGCAGGAAGATCGTGCATTGATAATATATTCGTTCTGCAGCAGGTAATCGAAAAACGGAAGGCAAGGAATCTATCTACCCACCTATTGTTTGTAGATTTAGAGAAGGCATATGAAACGGTACCTTTGAAAAAACTATTTTATACATTGACGAAAGTAGGTCTCAGTAGAGAGTATGTGGATGCTATCGCAAATATATACAAAAATGCAAGAAGTGTCGTTAAAGAAGGAAACTTTATATCTGAATCATTTCCAATAACCAAGGGGCTTAAACAAGGATGTTGTCTGTCTCCGACCCTGTTTAAAATATATATTCAATCATCGCTAGAGCAGTGGAGAAAACAAGTATCCGGAATGGGAATAGACATAGGCGGTGGTGAATGTCTAACAGCTTTATTTTTCGCAGATGATCAGGTAGTCGTAGCGAATGACGAGGAAGACATGGAGTACATGTTTAGAAAACTAAAGAAAGAATATGAAAAATGGGGCCTAAATATGAATATGGCAAAGACAGAGTATCTTAAAATAGGAGATGGTGAAGAAGATCCAGAGTTAGAAATTAGAAACACAAAAACATGCAATGAATATAAATATCTCGGATCTATAATATCTAAAGAAGGCACTACAAAAGAGACATCGAAAACAGAACACAGCAGGGAAAAAAAAGTGGTAAACATTCTAAACTCTCTACTTTGGTCTAAAGATATTAGACAAGAAACGAAATTGACAATCTATCGAACCTTGGTAGAGCCTATTATGACTTATGGGGCAGAGGTTTGGCAGATAACGCAGAAGGATAGAAAAAGAATAGAAGTAGTAGAAATGGATTTTCTAAGGAGAGCGTGTGGTTTATCCAAAAAAGATCACATCAGGAATGAAGATATTAGAAGAAGGACAAATACTGTATATTCCAGTGTAGATAGAATTGAAACGAGACAACTAGTGTGGTATGGTCACGTGAAACGAATGAATGAAGATAGATGGCCAAAGAAAGCTTTAGATTACATACCACAACAAAAAAGAAGAAGGGGAAGGCCTTCAGTTGCCTGGGAAGCAATCAGAGAAGACGAATGGATGGACAGAAAACGATGGCGGTCGAAATGCGAGAAACGGCAGAGGCTGTAGGAACCTCGCTTATATATATATATATCTACTTGTAATTTTATAATGTGTCTGTCGCACAGCCCTCCATTTAGCTGATTTGATACAATATTTCGTTGAACTGCCAACGTTGCCACAGAAATTAGAATGACATGTGACAAGATCAACTTACACAATTTGAAAAACACGATTTTCGGTTATAAGAGTTGTACCAGGTTTTATGACGCGAACGCTACAAAAAATTATAAATAAGTGACAATAACTTCTTTAATATGCTTTTCTGACGAAGTAATATTTACAATGTGTAGGAATGTAAACGGCCAAATAAGATATTGGTGCTCGAGGTAAATCCACACTGGATACGTGAAAACCATACTCAAAGACGACAAATACTACTACTAATGAATGATCGGGTATAGCGGGTACTCAGTTAATTGGGCCCTTTTTATAGAAGGAAATTTAACAAGCGATAATTATGTAATGCTATTTAGAAATTAAATTGTACCTGCTCTGAAAAACAAGTTCGGAACTACGAGAGGTTACTATTTACATTTCTGGCTTAATAATGAAAAAACGAGTATTTATGGTCGGAAATGATTTTCAAAATATTCCCCATGAAAATCAATACACTTTTGCATGTATTTGAATCAATTTTCTTCAAATTAAAAAAAAACAATCGTTGCCAAAAATTATTGGGGTTTATAGCGTTCTCCGACGCCTTCCGACTCCTGACCGCCATTCTTCTCTATTCAACCATAGGTCTGAAGGGATTTCTCTTTCCTCTAGTTCTTTTTCAATTCCCTCTCTCCAGCTTCTTCTCGGTCTTCCTCTCTTCCTTCTCCTTGTGGTGTCCACGTCAAAATCTGTTTTGAATCCTGTCATCTGGCATTCTCTGTACATGGCCGTACCATATTAACTGTTTTGTTTTTATGTCATCAACTATTGTATGTTTGACTCCCATCATTTCTCGTATTCTCTCATTTGGTATCCGATCTCTTCTTGATTTGCCTACTGCTCTTCTACAGAAGTCCATTTCTGTTGCTATGTTGCTATATATAATTTTCCACTAGCAACAGAAATGGAAAATTATTTGTTGGATGAGGCAATATTTAAGGAAAATTCGAAAATTGATGAGAGGAGACAAAAATATTTTTTATTTATTTAATGAAATTTTGTAACGATAAACTGGTTACAAATGCTCGTCAGGTATTTATAGAAGGCTTGTATATGGACTTAAAATTTCCAAATGGTACAGGTCGCCTCCTTTACTGCCGGAGTTTAGGGGGGGCCTATGTCCAGCACTGAACGTGACAAATGAAGGCTGGATGATGATGATGATGATAATGAAAGGTCGCCGTTTAATTATTAAAAAGATTAGGCGTTTCTAGGCTTTTGTTATCTTTTAAAGATGTTCTTGATTACATAAAATCGAAAGTGTTGTATACGGTTGAACTGTTATTGAAGTGAAGATTTCAACAGAGGTACACTATACAGGGTGTTGTATTTATAAAACCAAAGTGATTGATAAAATAAGACAAATGGTGAATCTAGCCATATTACAAATATCAAATTTCAAGTAATATTACGAAATATATGTATCCCTATTTTTGCATAATTCTGACCAACGGTTTAAGAGATAATTACTCGTTTGGAGACTTTTGGCCCACTCTGTATATTCCCTTCTTTTTTATGAATTAAGTACCATAGGTGCCTTTGAATAAAAAAATAGGATCTTACCAATAAATTTTACTTACCGGATTCATGTCTTTGTTTCGGTTGCACAGTAATTTTACATCCTTTTACTTCTACATAACTAGGATCTTTTAATATCGACATAAACGGCACTCTGACATATAAATTTTCTATGTATCCATCCACAAACTCAATTGGCCAATTTTGTTTTTCTCCAAGTTCATTAAGAGCCTACAACAAAAGATATTTGACACTAGTTATGATTTTTAATTAATTATTTCTACGTTTTTGTCACTGAAAAATACTAATAATTGTGTGTGATGATTAAACATATTAAAGAGTTTTCTTTCTCGGAATATGAAGGTCCTAAGTTTAAGTTTAGTCTAGAAAATAAACTCACAAAAGAAACCGTTCTTAAAAACAGTTTTTTTTTTGTTTTTTAGTATTTTTTAATAATAATTTTTAATATTTGAAACTAGCGTTGTCTTATGTAAAATTTAATTGCAAAACTTTTATGTCCGACACAAAATTATTCTAAAACTAATAGTTCTTGAGATATATGCGAAAAAAGAAGGAAAAATATCGAACTTTTTGAATTTCTTTCATATTTTGTTTAATAAAAAGTAAAGCTCACATTTTACAACTCACGCATAGTAAAAATATTATTTGTAGTGATATTTTGTAGCGATTTATGTGAAAACACTGTGATTATATGCTTTACACCTAACTCAAAACAGACCAAACATACACCGCCTGGACTAGGTTGCGAAGGGTTCAAAAATAGAGATTATTTTTTTTTCAAATTTAGCATTTCATACCCGAATATCAAGACTGATTTTTTCCACACTGCCAGTACCATTGTGAAAGTCAACGTTCACTTGATCTCTCGTTAATTCGTTTTCAAAGAATTTTCCAAGGTACATATTTAATAAATATGCACAAACGTTTTCCTTTATACCTTCTGGTATAATGTTATGATACCACGACATTTCACCTGCATATAATAATACAGTACCGTATATATAATAAATACCACTTAACACCACTTAAATTGCTAGTGATAATGATACAAGCAATTTCAATATCATACTTTTTGAGTATAACTGACTGATCACTTCCACTGTAAATATTGAATACTAAAGAAAAATTCTTTCTTTTCGGAGGAAGAATGTTGAACGTTTGAAATGGTAATTAACGTAGTGGTGGTAGTATAATCCTAATTTCTAAGAAAGCCAAAATAAAACAAAACCGATACTTCCTAGGTATACGATTTCGAAGAAGTCGACATTACAAGGCATTAAAACCGACGTTTTTTAGGTAACAAATGAAGATAAAATGAATGTGGGAAATATTTAATGTTTAAATTACAAAGATATATACACAATAAAATATGACTACATCTTTTTTAGATAGCGTCTCTAATGGAGGTTGGTGATGACTTCTGCAAATTCATTTGAATCTAGAGCTTTTCTTATAGTCTTGTCCATTCCTTGATGTTACGGAGCCATGGCATTTGTCTCCTGCCAGGACAGCGTTTACTTCCATTATTAATTAAAGGATGTTATATCTCTCGTGCCTGAAAATATGTATAGTATATACCACTATAAGTTAAGATGTTTTCCGTTTTTTAATAATGTCAATTTCTACAAGTTCACTATATTTATTCATATGTCTTAAAACTTCATAATTTCTAACATCCACCTTAGTCCACCTTTCAAAGTTTTCCAGGCGTCGTAACGTGATAATTATTGTCAACGTCCAGACCCCCATGTATTGTAGTAGGATACTGTGTTCTCGTATAGAGCATTTTATCATGCGATATTGTAGAGTTAGATCAAGATCTCGAGGGGTAAACCATTATCTCATTTTTAGAAATCAGTTTCTGGAATGTTCTATTTTACATTTCACTTTGACTATCTATTATAGGTTATAGGATAGTTATAGGACTATCTAATAATGATTAAAGACATATATTTGACTTGACTGAATCTAATGACTTTAAGTGTAAAAATAAAAATAACCATAACAGAAACTTTAAAAGAATGATATTTTTTTAAAGTCATTTTAATTTTGTAATCATATTACTGTAACTAACGTGCTTAAGACAATTTAATTATGACATTTATTACATACTTCATGTCAATTTTTATTTTTGAAATCTTTTAATTTCTGTAAGTTTTTTAAATGTATTTGGACACCATTTTTGTAATGCTAAAATTGTTTTTACAGTGTACTCCTGATAAAGCTATCAAATAAATAGCGAAATATTGAGTTGGAAAAAACAAAGATTTTTAATAAAGACCACTATACCCCTGATAATTTAATTTCTACTTGTTTATAAATTATTTTTTGGTCGAAATAATCACTTATAATATATATATATATATATATATATATATATATATATATATATATATATATATATAATTATTATTAAGAATTAAGATTAATAAGGGATGCCTCAGGTGGCCTTGAACACAGATAAAGCGCACGTCCAGCAGAAAGATTTAGGAACTGTATATATATATATATATATATATATATATATATATATATATATATATATATATATATATATATGTATATATATATATATATATATATATATATATATATAATATATAATATATATAATATATATATATAATATATATATATATATATATATATATATATATATATATATATATATATATATATATATATAGATATATATATTGCACACAACGTTTTCTCCTAGGCCCAATTCGTTTTCATAAGAAGTTGTTTTTTCACAATAAGATAAATATTTAAATAAATAACGACTTGAACTACATGGGCACCATAGTTTGAACCCAAACCTAATTAATGTAACATACAATACAAGTATATTTAAAAATATTGTGTTTACGCAACGTTGGGAATAAATGGGTTAAAAATAATAGCAGTAAGTATACCGGGTGGTGAATCGTCAAACGGACCATAGGAAACTTAATGAGAAATTTTAAATTGTTGAATTGCTGCTTCCCTAATTATTTTAGATCAAAAGTCATAAAAAACTATTTGTAGAGGACTATAATCTGAATTAAAAACAAATATTAAAACCATTCTACGACTCAAATGTACTTAAAAATTTTGCAAAAATGTAATACATTTTTCAGGTCACCCCTAAAAGTTAGGCCACACGTAATGCAAGAATATATATAAGGACGTTTGTGTTTTATCATATTTATGTCAGATGTTTGACAATTTGAATTGTCAATTTTTTCATTTTATGATTAAATTATAAACAATGAATTTTACTAAATACTACTACTAATGAACATTATTACTTTGTGAACAATAAATTATATTGTTTACAAATCGATCAATATAATGAAATGTACTCAGTTGACGAAAAATCGCATAATGTTGTATTCAGGCAATAGCGCGAACCTTTTCCTGCCACTACCGGTTCTTTATTTAACGTAAGATATTCTAATTCACTAAAATTTAATTCCATGTTAAGTTAAGTTATACAACAATTCAATGAATTCCAATATACTGTTACTGCTATCTTTATTCCTAATAATAATATATGATAATTTCTAAACATAAAACTATAACAAATGTTATAATAAAACATTTTTATTATTGCTTTTTACTTCTCAATTGAGTACACTTTTTAATCAACTTAATTTTTTTTAACAATCACAAAATTTTGGCCATTTAAATCATAGATGATTGATTTATAAGTATAAATATAATTGATTTAAATATTGTCAAATATCAGAAACAATAATATGACAAAACGCAATACGTAATACACATTTTTTCACAGAAAAATGTATTATATTTTAGCAAAATTTTGGAATACGTTTAAGTCGTAGAACAATTTTAACAGTTGTTTTCGATACATATTTGAGTCCTCTACAAATAGTTTCCCATGACTTTTGGTGTAAAATAATTAGGGAAGCAGGAATTCAACAATTTAGAATTTCCCATTGAGTTTCCTATGGTCCGTTTGACGATTCACCACCCTGTATAAGTTTTCAGTATGTCGTAAAAGGACATGTTCCGAGAAAATTAGTGGAAAAACGCCTCAGAACCAAAAAAAGTCGCACAGGAAAACTGTATCAGACTCGATCTAATGAAGAGATGCTCGAAATTTGGAGAGAGTGTCTATCATAAACTGTTTTGCCGAAGGACACTAACTAAAAATATAATTTATTAAATATATAGATAGATAGATAGATAGGTTTATTGACAATTTTTACATAGTAAACACTACCTGTCATGTCACAATAAAAATAATTTACTTTTGTATACTAAGAACTAAGAAATAATACAAGAACATATAATAAAACATATACAGTGAAAATTAGATATATAAAATTATAACAAATAAGAAAGAAACATTTCAGTAAGGCGTAATATAGTTTTCATTAAAAACGACCACACTAGGAGCTCAAACAAACAAATTCCTGTATACTATAGAAACAGTGTTCCAGCAGGAAGTGTTTTGCTAGTTTATAAAATTGTTTAGAATTCATTGCCTTAATATCAATATTTTTGTTTAAGTTTAAAAGACAATTATACAGATTATAATCTATTGTAATAAGTTGTGTAACACACAATCTGGAATATGGTATAATGATATGACTTTTATTTCTTGTATTGTAATGATGTTGATCAGCATGTGATTTTACATCTTTTATATTATTACGAATAGTTAACAAAGTTTCAAATATATATATATATATATATATATATATATATATATATATTAAAGGTAAAGGAAGAATGCCATACTTCTTAAATAAGGGTTTACAGCTGGCGCGATATTCTGCCGAGTCAATAATTCGGATTGCTGCTTTTTGAAAGGTGAAAACTTTATATGCATAGGACGAGTTTCCCCAAAGAAGTATGCAATATGTCAGGATACTATGAACCATTCCAAAATAAACTGACCTAAGAATATCTCGACTCACAGAAGTAGCCAATCTGCGCATAGCAAAAATCTGTGAGGCGAGCCCCCTACACAATCGTTCAATATGGTGCGACCAGTTCAACCTTGTATCCATAGTAACACCTAGTAACTTTACTGGTTCAGATGGTGTAACCCATCTATCAGAACTAAATACGATTGTCTGGGTTTTCTGCTCGTTTTACTTAAGTTTGTTACAGTTAAACCAGGATTTAGATTTTTACATTTAAACCAGGATCAGTTTTACCTCTACATAATAAGGTTGTGTCATCTGCAAAAAGAACAC